AAGGTAGTTTGGAAGGAAGCATGAGTAAAATATTTCAAATATACTTTTAAATTTGTAGTGTCTTAACCACATATCCTTCTAAAAGGTAATCTAAATACAGTGCAAAGCAAGTAGTAGTAACATTTTCCAATTCAGATCAGTTCTGTGTGGGATTGATCACTTTCCACACCAACCTAAGTGGTCAGTTATTTTTTATTTATCGTGTCATCCGCAACCAGAACATTGTATTACATTTCTAACAGAACAAAACAAACAAACTGATTAAAAAAAACACACAAATTTTGCAAACTTGGTAGCTGATTAGTGGTCAGTGTAGATCAAGTATGAGCAATCTTGGACCCTCGAGGTGTTTTGGACTTCAACTCCCACAATTCCTAACAACCTTCAGACTGTTATGAATTTAGGAGTTGAAGTCCAAAACACCTGGAGGGCCCAAGTTTGCCCATGCCTGATGTAGATGGAGCCATAAAGTACTGTTTATATCAAAGATGTTGATATGAATTACACGTGATATCAAAAAGGGGATAGATATAGATAAAGAGTTAATTACTCTTCATATTAAAAGAAACACTTTTGGGAGTCAGAGAAAGAAATGCATTTGATATATTCTTATACATGTCATAGCAGTTTGAATGTTGAACTATGTTCAAATCCCCACTCAGCCATGGGTAGGTCACACTCTCTTGACCTAAGAGGAAACCCTCCTCTGAATAAATCATGTGGAGATGCAATAGAATCATTGTCACAACAACATAATTTATTTTATTTTTTAGTTATTTATTTTTATCCTACCTTTCTCCTGATATAGGGACTCAATGCAGTTATAGAACAACAATGTATATATTGCAATATTGCAATACAAAAAAGAACAGAAAATATTGACAAATAATATATTTTCAGGATGGATATACATATATTGCAAGGGGAGAGCTTCAGAACAGGGCACATTGAAAGTGTTCATAATTAACTTGAAGCATTTTTTTTTATTGATCACAAGCACAAATATGTTATATGATCTTCCTGAAAAAAAAATTATATGAAATGTGAGAAAATTATGACACCCCCCCACCACCACCACCACCACCTCCTCTCTAAATACATATCTTGATTTTTGTGTTCGCTGAGAACACAAAAAAAACAAACACATTTCCACAACAAACACATTGCCACATCAATTTGAATTGAGGAACAACCATTCCTTCCTTTTTTCCAAAAGCCTGTAATTTTACAGAATGTGGCTTGGGAGTCTATTGTGAAAGCTGCAGTCCGCACTGTCCTTGTTCAGAGGTGCATAGTACTAATTGAATGGTCAATTTAATTGGCACAAAGCCACTCTAGACAAGGCCAATGTTCCCAATTCAGCCCCAGAGATTTGCCAACCAAATCTTAGCCAACTAAATACTTAAATGGATTAATATACCAAACATTTTAATTTTTCAAAGTCAAAAATATCACCTTCTAGAAGAAAATATGATCCTGTTCCTGTAGGAAAGTGGATCTGCATATAGGCCTGTAATTGGGCTCACTGTTATACTGAGATTGGAGCCAACAAAGTGGCATGATTTATTGTCAAGAGAGTGCTTTGAAAATCTTAAAAGCCCAAACAATCCATGAAAAAAAGAACAGACACTGGATAAGCTTTGCTACACCTTACATCATTTACATAGAACAAGATTTTTGACCAAAAAGGTCTTGTCTTCTTACTAGCAGCTTATAAGAACAAAGATAAACAGAGGCTTTCACATGTAAACTGTGTTTTCTGTATAAACTGCCATCACTTAGATAGGAATGCTAAGACCCTTGCATATTGTAAACACGCTGGATTTATTGGTTACATAATAAGTATCATTATCTGCTTTGCCTACCCAGAGATCAAGGAGGTAATTTTAATTTATTCAGTTCCTTCCCTGAACAAACCGCAATACAGCAGTGATAAATCAGATTGAGTTAGCAAAGAGTAATAACATTTAACATTCCAGAAATATTGCCCAGTCCTCAAGTACTTTGCAACTTCTCCAATCATTTGTCACTGTGCAGACTAAATGGTGTCAATTTGTTCTTGCTCTACAGCAGAGGTTCCCAACCTTTTCTTGATCAGGGACCACTTTGACCAGGGACCACTTGACCAGGGACCACTTTGGCCAGGGACCACTTTGGCCAGGAACCACTTTGACCAGGGACCACTCTCCAACGTCAGTACCAAAAGGGTTACGAATCAGTTTTTGGTCAACTTTAGATTTGGTTTGGTTATTTGGGGTGCTAATTCAGAAAATTGCAATCTTCACATGGAACAAATCTACTCAGGGGAGGGAGGAGGTGGAGAAACAGCAGTCAGAAGGGTTGTTGTTGCACCTTTCTTGGGCAGTCAGCCTCATCCCTCCCAACATCCCCATTGCCTTGACACTGTAAGAGAGTTTCACAAGACCAGTCACTCTCATTGCAATGGTGTAGTAACAGCGAGGCTGTAGAGCAGTGGTTCGCAACCTGGGGTCACCAGATGTTTTTGGCCTACAATTCCCAGAAATCCCAGCTAGTTTACCAGCTGTTAGGATTTCTGGGAGTTGAAAGCCAAAAACATCTGGGGACCCCAGGTTTGAGTGGTTGAGAACCACTGCTGTAGGGCATATTGCAGTTCTTGGGAACCACACTTCTACAAGGTGTGAGATCAGGATACCTAGAAAATTCAGAAAGTACCAAACTGATCTTACATATAAATCTATCATTATTTTTTTCCAGATTTCCTGTTAAATCACACTTTGCCCAACCCATCATTTTACCCATCATACAGTAGTTTTACTTCAACTTTTCTTTCGGACAGTCAGTTTTCTTCCCATATCACCCTAGAAATGTATTTATAGCATAGGCTTCCATGGACTCTTACCACTTCATCAGATGCAACTGATCTGATGAGATGGACTACAGTCAATGAAACATCATGCTAGATATGTATTTTTCTTTGTTAGTCTCAGAGGTGCTATATGATACTTTGATGTTTCGACAGGAAACTTGATTCATCCCTAGATAGATCAGGTAGCTGTGTAATACAAATGATGTTGTGTTTGGCCTTACGGTATGTTTTTCAGTACAGAGTCAAAACAAATGAACCATGAGCTTGGAAACTCTGAAGAAATGACAGGTCAGTGAGGGTTGTGACTCACAGGTAGATAGAGGGCATCTGGACATGCTGGAACTGTGGTCAAAGAATACAAAGTCTGGTTCTTGGAGTGAGGAGAAATCTCCAGGTCTGGGTCTAGCCTGTATGATTATGCATTAAGCAGTCATCACTCACAAGGACAAGCTGGTGATGTTTGAACTTAATGAACTATGTGCAGGTGTCAGTGCTTCACAGCTAAAGAACATCTCCCAGCAGGGTTTTGAATAGGTCATTTCTAAATTAATCTTTGAATGGGATCTCTTTGATGTCAACTTATTGGGAAGGTATTTGCGTATACATGGTGTTATGATATTTTCCATATTTATATGAAAGTTACTCCTGTTAATTTAATTACTGAAGAGCACACACTTTAATTATACCGTAAGTATGTGATGATAATTACATCTTAAATTATACTATATTAAGATAATAAGGAGAACTTAAATAAACGTTAATTAGGTTAAATGTTAGGAGTTCATGTGGTAGAGACAAAAAGCGCTTTTCTTTTTGCCACTGTTAATCTCGTCATCAGTCAGCCTGCTGGAACAACACAGATACTTTAAACTTTAGGGTGATGCCAACAAATAATATATAGAAGACATCATGGCTGAGTTACAACAACAACAATTGTTTGGCAGAAGTGTCAGGATAGTGCATGCTAAGCTACTTTCCTTGACATGGTGAAAGCTAGACCTATTTCCCAGCAATACATCAAAGAATCCATCTAGCAAATCCAATTGTATTGTCATATTCGTGTATTTTCTTCTTTCTCCACACTAGAGATGACCTAGATGCCGAGTTACGGCCAATAGGGATGAGATGAATGCACTTGTCACTGCAAAGAAAACCGATTGAGAGATAGGAAGCAAATCATTTTTAAGCGCTGTGGTTTCTATTACTGAAATTGATTGCTTTTCATTTCCTGTTCAGATGACAGCTACTTACTTGTGTGCACAACTGCAACTTTATTATACTGTATTCAGCCTCTATGTGTATCTAGCAAATGGGAGTATTCATCATAAAATGTGAGTGCTGGGCTGCAGGCAACGAGGAAGGAACTAGGAACCAAGAGCCAAGATGCTGAGAAATTCAGCAAATCAGAGCCAGGGAGATTCCACACAGATACTATGTTGCAGTTTAACACTGGCTCAAGAATGGGGTGTCCACAAAACGTACAACCCCAACGTGCACTGCAGCGTGCATCAAGCCAGAAACAGCGCATTAAAAAAACTTGTCAGAAAGTCCAGAATAAACCAAAAGATTATAGTATATCCCATGTGGGGCTCAAATCCAAGACGACCAAAAAATGTGTAGTGCTTGTCAGGACACTACTAACACTGACACGTTTTTAAAAATGCTGAAACCCAGTTGGCCAGAAGGTAAACAAGTACTCCCCTAAAAGAGGAAACCACATAATTCCCATGGGAACACTTGCTTTCTGTCCCTTTGTTCTCATTTCCTGTGCCCTGCCATAGTCCAGCACTGATCCCAAATGGACACGGTGATGTACTTCAGTGTATCTCAGCTTACTAGATGGCAGGGGGCAGGCCGACTCCCTGGGTTCAGTGATGATTTACATTCAGCAGATACTGTGGCCCATTATTTCCAGCCTTGAACTAGTTCCTGGGGTGATTGTATAGGTGCTCCATACTGGAACTGGTTCAGTTTAATCAATTTCCTGACTGAATCTTAATGTCTGTATAGAACCAAAAGGTACCAGAACCAGAAAGGTAATAGCTCCATTGTTCAGTTTTCAAGGCTATAGTTATTATTGTTGCTTTCTAATTTATGTTTGTTGCTGGAGGGAAAAAACCCTTTTGACTTATTTTTAGTGTTTTCTAAACAGGGATAAGGTGATACGGATTGTTCCAAAGAATGGAAAAGAAGCAGAGACGTTGAAGACCATATCTCAGCAACTTCAGGTATATTCATTTTTGGCACTGATTAACTTTGCTTTGCATTGGAGAATGAGTACAGTAAGATGCTGTATCATGCCCCCACAGAGGCATTTATTGTTTTCTTTGTTGAGTCTCAGTTGTCCCTTTATTTAGAATGGATTTAGTTCCTTTTTGTATAGTTTTCTGTGGGAGGGAACCTTAATTAAACCCAGTCCCTTTAGTAACCCCTCCCCCCCACTTCCAGGTGGAGCTTGCAGTTCTCCTCAACCCTTCCTTTACAGCTAATCATTCTGATGGCACCAAGTAGCCTAGAGACTGTAATATCTTCCTTGTCAAAGGTTGAGGAAACCAAGTTTAAGACTTGGAGAAACAAGTTTGAAGTATTGAGGAGCCAAATCTCCAGTTTGAAGAAAAAAATTTAAACAGGAAGCATTGGCAGAAGTCAAATCCTCACAAAGGACATAGAAAAAAGGCTAGAAAGAGGATCTCTTTGGGAAAAAAATCAAGGGCCTTTCCAGACAGGGCTTTATCCCAGGAGGATTCACACACACACTTTCTGGAGTAGGTGTCCAGATGTCCTTCCAGGACTGACCCAGGAGGACACTAGGACACTCTACCCCCCTCCCCCAATGCCCTAAAATTGAAATTTGTTTCAAAGATTCCAGTAGATACCAAATCCTTGGAGGCTCAAGTCCATTATATATAGCTGATAGTGATCCTGTGACTTTTACAGTGAGTTCTCAGGCCCCGGCCTTTTACACCACCATATTATTCAGATTTTTTTTTGTCATGTCAGGAGCAACTTTAGAAACTGCAAGTTGCTTCTGGTGTGAGAGAATTGGCCATCTACAAGGACGTTGCCCAAGGGACGCCCAGATGTTTTGATGTTTTACCATCCTTGTGGGAGGCTTCTCTCATGTCCCCACATGGAGAGCTGGAGCTGATAGAGGGAGCTCATCCGCGCTCCCCCTGGATTCAAACCTGTGACCTGTCGGTCTTCAGTCCTGCCGGCACAAGAGTTTAACACACTCCGCTACCGGGGTCTCCATTATTCAGATTATCAAAACAGATAATCCACATCTGCTTTGAACTGGATTATATGAGTCTACACTGCCATATAATTCAGTTCAAAGATGATAATCTGGATTTTATATGGCAGTGTAGAAGGGGCTTCAACCTCAAAGGAAGACAATTCGGAGCTTATCTCCCAAGAAAACACAGTGGAAGCCTTTTCTTACAGTCACCATAAATCAGAAATTAGTTGAAAGCACACACAAGATTTCGGCCTCATCTATATTTTTATATAAAATCCACATTATCTGCTTTCAACAGGATTATATGGCAATGCAGACTCATACAATCTAGTTCAAAACAGGTAATGTGGATTATTTGGTTTGATAATCTGGATTATAGGATAGTGTAGAAGGGGCCTTTCTCAACAATCTATTCAGGGGATCAAGCATATGCTTTCTAATCAACAAACAATATAATTCTCCTTCTGTCTCAAAATACAATACAAAATAAGCGCATATTTCTGGCTCTACAAATCTATCAGCAAAGGAAAGGCAATAAGCAGAAGACTTAAAGAGCCAGAGAATAGCAGTAACATACAAATTACTTTTTATTTTGCTAACAATTATATGAAGAGCCCACGGTAAATGCTTACCTTCAAGGTGAATATGAAAAATGACAATGCAGGAATGTTTTGAGAAGTGCTTATGGAATGCCTCTGATGTATATTGTAAATATAAATCATTCTGGCATAGTCACAAATCTGTCTTCTTCAAGTAAAAAAAAGGAAATAAATTGAAACCAGGGTAATAAAGCTGACAGTTGCTCCAAGAATGAACTTGTTTACACCTAAATAAATGTTCTCCCACAAATTGTTTCATCTAATTGGTTGGTTTTCATGTGGCCTTTAGCATTTTGTGTTTTTTACTAGAAATGTACATCTCTGAAAATGTTTTCTGAGGTATTTCTTGACAAATTCATGTGCTCTGTGCAATGCTTTGTTCACTGCTATACAGTCAAATCAATTGTTGTGAAATATACCTCATGAAAAATACCAGAGAATGCACCATATAAGCTTCAAATAATACTAACTTTACTGTTCTGTTCATGGATTTTAAGTTGGGAAGTACACAAACATCTGAAAAAATATGTAGAAACTTTTTGTTAAGCTGTTTAATGAGTACAATTCTTGGTTTTCCAGAACTACAAAGTCAAAAGGCATTCCAAGGTTTTGGATACCATGAAATCTCTTTAATTCCTTTAAACAGCTGAATAACCTTCTTAAACAGATGCACTTAGATGTTCCATGGAGAGATCTGCAAGGCATGAGATTGTATTAGATGTCACATAAACTGTCAGCAGCAAACTGGTGCAGTTAACACCATGTCTCTACCCACAGTTTCATGTGTGAAGTTTTCCGCAAATTGTCCTTTCAAATCTCTCACTTTTACTGGGACTACAAAACATTTCATTTTTTTCCCAAAAGATAAACTAGATAAGGCAATTATCTACCTTGTAAACGTATGGGGGCACCACAAATTTCATAGGGTTTTTTAGGCAAGGAACATTCAGAGGTGGCTCCACTTGTTTCTTCTTCTGAAATATAACCTGAGCCCCCTTCTACACTTTCATATAAAATCCATATTATCTGCTTTGAATTGGATTATATGGCAGTGTAGATTCATATAATCCAAATAAATGACATGAGAACCAGAGGTCAGCAAGGTGCTACAAAACATAAGCCTTCCACACAAAAAATGGACACCGTAAATTTGGGATGATGGTGTCAGAATGACAATTTATAACTATCATGGTGTAATCAATTGCCAGGTAATGTAGATTGTCTGATTTGATAATCTGGATTATATGGTAGTGTAGAAGGGGCCTAAGAGCCCTTCTACTCATGGCTAAAATCCTGTAACTGGGTAAAAGGGAGGGTGGCTAAACAACGTTTAGCCAAAGTGCAGGCGGAATCAGGTTAACAGTTGAAAAACACATGTTATAAAGGTGATTCCATCCCAAAAATGTGTATCTTCACATGACTGTATATCCCTGCAGTCATGCAAAACATGCTCTCCTTCCCTTCCCCCTGAGTGGACTGCTCCAGTATATGTGTGCTTTTTGAAAACCCAAAACAGCTCATCAGCTGATTGGGCTGTCAAACTATGAAGCCACAGACACACAGGTGACTCAAGGGAAGCACAAGTGGAAAGCAATTAAAACTCTTTGAAACTCTTTTAAAAAATTATAATATTGAACAGAGCTTGAATTAAAATTTGGGTGAAGAGAGAAATAAGAAATATTCTTGTATTTACATTAAGATATTTGCATGTGTACATATCAGATCCAGCGCATAACAGAGTGATTTAAAAAAAACTTCCACCAGATGTCCCCCATCCTCCCTCCATCTTGATCTGTTTCAAAGGAAGATGTGAGGATGGCAGGGGAACATTTCCCTAGACTGACAAGTCGGGGTGTAGACCTGCTATCAGGTCCTGGGATTTTTTGCCCCAGTTTTAAAATCCACATTTTGGCATTATCTGGAAGCACCTTCAGTCTCCACTGCCAGATAATCTGGGATAAGCGGATTATCTGGGATCAGATCCTGAGATATAGGGGCAGTGTAAAGGACTTAAAGTGGGAGTTTATGATCAGAATTCTTCCTTTTCCCCAGAGAACTAAGACTTTTAAAAAACAGCTCTGGAGAACAATGAGGGGCATAAAGGATTCTGTTCCTATCCGCATTTATCTATCTAAAATTTCTACAAGGAGTTAGCAGTTTCCTGGTTGTGTCACATCTTTGTGCACCTGGTAAATAATAGTTAGTGGGTCTAATATTTGAAGTTGACTTGATGTAAGTTAACACAATTAAAATAATGGTGTAGGGTAAAGCAATTCTGCTTCTAAGATTAAATTTTTAATGCTGAAGTCTAAAATGCTATAATCCAATATTCTACTTTTTCTCAGGCTGTGGTGGTCTTCTTCATAGAATTATAATTCAGAAATAGAATAAGAACTTCATTATATTAGACCCATGGATATTTCCAATCTAGACTGAATAAATATGAATTACAGGTTGGTTCCTGCACTACAGGTGGACCTATGGCAGCCTGGCAGCATCTCCTATATTTCCAAGGGTGCAGTAACAGATATACGGGTATCAAGAAACAACTCCCAAATTCTTCTACCCTGCCTACAACAAGCAAACATCCAGTATACGTAAGCATTTTTTTAAAGTTTGTAATGTCCACCTGGGTCATTGTGTTTTGATTTATCAAGTTTATTTGAAAATACCATTATCATCCGTTTACTATTGTGCCTTTTCAGTTATAGTAGCTTGTAAATACCATACCTAAAATCGTTATTTAAATTGAAACATGTAAGACTTCTCTCAGACAGATGTTTTAATTAAATAGTATCTTTTGGATGCAGACTAGTCTTTCTAGTTCATAGTGGCCTGTTTCTTTTCTTTTAGGTAAACAGTAATTATTGCTTTTCTGATCTGCATAATTTGTACTTGAGTGTTATATCTAAGTATGCTAAAGATTCAAAATGATACATGCTTCTAAATTATGTACTGGAATACACTCATTACTTTCTTGTCCATCAGACAGACCACAACAATTATCATGATGAATGACTGTGCTTCTTTCTTTACTCTTTAAGAATTGCACATATTACACCAACCTATCTTTTAAACAATGTGGAATGACTTTCTCTTTATAATAATAATAATAATAACTTTATTTTTGTATCTTGCCTGTATCTCCCTGAAGGGTCTCAGGGTGGCTTACATGGAGACAAGCCGGATCAACATAGTTAAAATATTACACGCTAAAATTCATAAAACAACATCATAAAACAATATAAAACAGACAACAACATAACACAGTATAAATGCAACCATCAAGCAAGCAACCAATGGCCTGAAATAGTCAACAGTTTCTGGGCTCGGGTAGGTGGACTGTTGCAAATTTGTTATGATAACAGGACTGATGATAAAATGCAAAAGCCAGATGACAAAATTAGGAACAGAGGACAATATGAAAAAGAGCACTATATCTCTGGGTAGGGAACAGTAGTAAAGTGCAATGACTAGATTTTGGGTCAAAGCTGGAGGACAACGTTTTCTGGGGAAACATCTTACCAAAAGCACAGTGGAACATTCATATTTTTAGATCTTTGCGAAAGATCGACAGGGTGGGTGCCAACCTAATCTCTCTGGGGAGAGAATTCCAGAGCCAGGTGGTCACCACCGAAAAGGGCATCTCTGTCATCCCCAAAAGATCTTAGAAATCGCACAGGTTCATAGAGGAAGATGCAGTCACCAAAATAAGCAGGTCCTGAACCAGGTGGACAGGGTACTTCTGAAGATAAATGTTTGCAACTCAATAAAATTAGATGAAACACATAACTTTACCTTATTGGATAAGTTTTTTGCCTGATATATACACTGGCCGCATACCCCAAGTTCAACCAGAAGTTGCTTCGGGGCATCCAGCTATCATCCAAAGTCTTATGCAGGGAAAAATCTATTAACCTCATTCTAACCTGCACTACAGAAAGTTGGGAAATACTCCAGTGATGTGTGTGAACAGCTGGGCTAGTTCTAACCTAGAACCACCCCCACTGATCACATAGCCCAACCAACTTTCCCTGTGCATGGGGAAAAGGGGAAAACACTTACTTTGGCCTTTTTGAGTTACTGCAGCAACAACCTTAGATCTCTGGTGAGCTCCGGGTCATGGCTGGGCACCAGTGCCAACATGAGCCAATGCTTCTGCATGACTAGGAGATAGGAGGAGGGCAATCTCACTCCATTCTTCAAACTGCAAGGGTGCCTTTACTGACATTGGCAAAGGCACCCAGCGATGGCCAAGAGATCTCCAGAAGTCTGTTGGCAATAACATTGTGTAGCACGATTTTTGTTCCTGGGTTATAAATGTCATGGGAAAACATAAAACTGCAGGACATCCTGCAGCACATTTTCTATAGTTTTCTCAACCAATTCAACATATTTTGTGGCAGCCACAAAAATGATGGAGTATAACAACTAAGAAATAACAGTTCAAACCAGAAGTAGATTTTTTTTTCAAATTTTGTTACATAGTGTAATCTGTGCTCCCCCCCCCCCCCGGCCAATGATTTTTCTACTTTCGTGGCGTATCTTACTATTCCACTTACCTCCATAAATGTGTGGAAACAACCGTACTATTCTGCACTGTTGTCCTTAAACAGTCCTGGATCATTACACTTTCAACTTTCACTTTAAATAAAATTAAATGAAAAAGAACAATTGATACATCCTTTCCCCATATAATATCACTTTTCTAGTCCAAACAAAAGTGATAGAGGTCTGGCCCTAAGTTTATCTGTTTCTGCAAATTCACTTATTTTCATAAGCAAATTGTCTTGTGTCAGAATAATTGAGTCTTTCCATCTTTGAGTGTAGGTAATTCTTGCTGCTGTTATCATGTATAACAATAACTTTCTTTTGATGAAAACAAATCAAGGACGTACGAGATCTCAAACAGACTGGCAACTGGTTAAAGACTATTTTTAAAAGGAAAAGATAACTGAAAAAGAAAGGACGAACAATTATTACCAAATAACTTAATTATTAACTAAAAAAGTCTTCAAGAAGGGAGAGCTGATAGAGTATGTGAAAGAAAAGTTAAGTAACAATACGATCACCTCAAAATAGATAGAAGTCAATTCTTTTTATGCAACTTTTTTTGTATTGTTGCGTGTTTTTTTGTTTTTTCTTTGTTCTCACTTTCACCTTTCTTTGTTTGTTTTTTTTTTGTTATTCACCATTAAGACTGTTCATACAAAAAAAATTAACAATATTTTTTTTAAAAAAAATAACTTTCCATATTTTCTATTGAGTTGATCATCTCACATACCAAGTGGATAGAATTCAGGTTTCATTTCTAATTTAAATTTAGCAATTTCTTTTAAAATAATATATATTTGTTCCCAGTATTTCTGGGCCCTTTTGCATGACCTTTTACTAGTAAAGGTATAAAAGGTAAAGCTTTTTCCTGACATTAAGTCCAGTTGTGTCTGACTCTGGGGGTTGGTGCTCATCTCCATTTCTAAGCCGAAGAGCCGGTGTTGTCCGTAAACACCTGCAAGGTCATGTGGCCAGCATTACTGCAGGGAGCGCCATTACCTTCCCGCTGGAGCCGTACCTATTGATCTACTCGTGTTTGCATGTTTTCAAACTGCTACATTGACAAAAGCTGGGGCTAACAGAGGGAGTTCATGCCTTTCCCCGGATTCGAACCTGCAACCTTTCGGTCAACAAGTTTAGTAGCTCAGTGGTTTAATCCACTGCACCACTACATATGATAAAAAGTGCCCACCTTTTCCCCGCATTTCCAACACTCACTGATTCTTAGTTAATTTGGGGGGCACTTTTATTTTTGTTGCTTAAAGTACAATATTTCAAAGTTTTAATAAGATATACATTTTTCTTTATGTATAAAATAAAACATCTTAGAATGTGAAACAAAATCCAGTAATAAAGGACAAGATACTAATTATTTCATTGAAGTATAATTTAAAAGTTAAAATGCAAGTCGGAGACATGTTTTTATTTCCTTCACTAAAAATTGTTTCCTTCTTTTCTCAGAATAATGTTATGTTTTTAAATAATGGGTTTATTTGACTGCAGGTAATAACAAGGTTGTCCCAAAGCCAGCTTAGGTTGTTATTTTCGCTTAGGCTACAATTAAAAGATAGTGTTTTTTTCACTATTTTTATATGTGTATCACATTTTTTGTTGCCAGTACTATGCCATGCCTGTATTTGACTCATGTTCTTTTGATGCAGAGTCCTCATATCTGATCTTCAAAAAGCAGTGGAAAATCAAAGTGGTTCAAGGTCTAGGAATCGTAGATCATTACAAGAATACAGCTATGAAATATATCATTCCCTGGAAGAAGTATGTAATCTTAAAGTAGAATCTCATATATTTGCTGCTACGTGCTCTTATTTTTAAATAAAAAAATTCCAGAAAAACTGCAAATACACAATTCTGTTATTCTGTCAATAGGAATGTAAACTGTGACCACCTTAGATCCTGGGATAATGTGGGATATAAACCAATTGAATTTTTTAATGGAAACTTTTAATATAAATGCTTCTAGGACAGGAAATGGTAGAGAAGAGAGAACATCTAAAGCAGGGTTTCTCAACCTGGGGGTCGGGACCCCTGGAGGGTCATAAAGGGGTGTCAAAGGTGTCACCAAAGAAAAATATAGTATTTTCTATTGGTCATAGGGGTTCCGTGTGGGAAGTTTGGCCCAATTCTATCATTGGTGGGGTTCAGAATGCTTTTGTAGGTGAACTATAAATCCCAGCAACTACAACTCTCAAATGTCAAGGTCTGTTTTCCCCAAACTCCACCAGTGTTCACATTTGGGCATATTGAGTATTTGTGCCAAGTTTGGTCTAGATCCATCATTGGAGTCCACAGTGCTCTCTGGATGTAGGTGAACTGCAACTCCAAAACACAAGGTCAATGCCCACCAAACCCTTCCAGTATTTGCTGTTGGTCATGGGAATTCTGTGTGCCAAGATTGGTTCAATTCCATCATTGGTGAAGTTCATACTGCTCTTTGATTTTAGGTGAACTATGAATCCCAGCAACTACAACTCCCAAATGACAAAATCAATCCACCCCCCAAGCCCATTAGTATTCAAATTTGAGCGTATCGAATATTTGTGCCAAAGCAAACACACAAAAAACCAAAGAAAACATGCACTGCTAGTGTTTCCCATTTATTTATTTTTTACATTTCATGTTTCTGCTAATTGTAGTTATTCCTAACAATTTACATGCTCAACTACTTCTCTCTTTTCAGATTCAAGATTGGATGTATCAGCTGAACACAACTCATTCAGATCTTATCCACATGTTTAGTGTTGGCAAGTCATATGAAGGAAGGCCACTTTATGTGTTAAGGGTAAATTTAAATTGATCAGTATTAGTAAAGTCATGATAAAACTACAAATACCAATGGAAACTAAGTGTAAGCAAGATGTCATAATGTTGAAACGATAAAAATATTGTAAAAAAAAAGATAAAACTACAAATAAATAGGGCTATACCAACCTAACAACAAAATGTAAAGTATAGTCTTCCATAAAAATAATGTCAGTCAGATGTTACTGTGGTAGTTGCTATTGAATGGTCTGTTCGTGCTTGAGGTGTTCTGCGGGATTCATTGTTTTTCATGACAGTTCCTTCACCATCTCAAGGATGTATCAGGCCAAGTACAGGTAGGAGCTTCTTGTAGAAATGGCTTTTCCATATTTGGACCCACTGTGCCTTAGTCAAGAGCTTCAAAATGCTACACACTTTTTACAAATTCCAACTTGTAGACTGAAGGATATGTTCTTTAAAAGTGTTTTTGTAAGCTCTGTCTGGGCCATTCTTTCCTGGAACCTGTTGTTTTTTGGGTCTGTTGGCACGTTTAATATCGCCAACCTCATGGTTCAGTCAGCAAGATACATCATCCCCATAGTGGCAGAATGACACTCACATACAAACACCAACATAGGCTGTTGATAACTTTTGACCAGGGTTTTCTTCTTGCCCTTCATACACTAACACATATAGAGATTATTAATCTCATTTTTTTTCAAATATGAATAGTTCTACTCATCCCAAACACACTTTCTGGATTATTTGCTCACAGATAATTAATTCACACACTTGTACATACATACCATCCCTAATACGTTGCTGAAGTTTTCTTTCTCGTTATCAGTCCGGGCAACATATGTGTTTTATTTCTTTGGATAATACTTTATATTTACATGTTCAATGGAAAACTATAGTCCTAGCTCCTTACAGCACATGCACTTTAGCCGACACTGTTCTTTCAGTCCTAGGGCGAGTCTACATAGGCTTCTAAATCTGTGGCCAGTCTAGAGCCGAAATTATCCAAACTGGCCCCGGAGGCAGCCAGACAAATTTGACTGAACCTCCTGTAGTGCTATGTTCACATGGTCCAACAGGGTGAGGTCCACAGCCCATTGAACCAACATCTCACCTTCTGTGTCACTGCTACCACTTCCAGCTGGACACAGAACTTGGTGCAAGTTGTAATAATTCAGGAGTTTGCATAGAGCTCTGTGCCCAGCTGGGAGTGGAAACAGCAGTGAGGTGGGCAAATCCATCCTCTTTATCCAGTGCTGATGAGTCCCCACTCATCAGCACTGGATATACCAGGGTATATCCATAAATAAAGGCAGGGTATACCATAAATAAAGATAATGGTGCTGGTGCTGTTGTCCTGATCAAACAGTAAACCACTCCAAATTGAACCGGATCCAGCTGTCCAGACTGCTCTGAAGCTGAGGGATGCTCTGAAGTAGGGATTCTCAAACTTTTCAGCCATGGAGTCCTTTTTTGAAGCAGAAGTTTCTTGTGTAGCACAAAAATAAATGTTTATATATTATATTACATATCAGTGGTTCTCAAAGTGTGCTCTAGGGAGCTCTTGGGGCTCTGCAAAGCATACTGAGGGGTTTTACACTTTCTCCTTCTCCCCCCTCCTTCCTTTCCAACCACAGAGCCCCTCAGTATGCTTCATGCTATGGAGCATCCAGCTTTGCAATATTCCCCAACTTTGCCCAAAGTGGAACAGTTAATTCCATAAAATCTGTTGAACTCAACCAAAAGTAGTTGAATGTTGTAGGGACACAAAGTAGTCAATTTGGAGTTACTTTTCTTGCCTTTTTTTGTCAGTTTTTTTTTGTCTTCATTTATGCACAATTTCTATTGCAGTTAGGCAAAAGATCATGGGGTTACAAGAAAGCTGTCTGGATTGACTGTGGCATTCATGCAAGAGAATGGATTGGCCCAGCCTTTTGCCAGTGGTTTGTGAAAGAGGTAAGGATTGACTTTTCTACAGATTTTTATTTTGTTTTGAATTAGAATATTCCCTGTGCTGCCATAACAGAATGGAGCTTCTATAAATAAAATAAAAGTATTTGCATCTGTCAGTGACAGAATATTCACAAATATCTTTGAAATTCTATTGCTAGAGTCATGATGCTGCTTAATATGCCTTTAACTCTGGTTCAAATTGGAAAGAATGAAATATTATTTATTCTCGTGTACAGCTTTACTGTCATAATGACTGACTGGTTTATTGACTGAGAATTGGACTTAGTAATGTTTCGTAGATGATACAGATCAAAGTAAAGCTAATCAAGGAACTACCATTTCAACTCTTGTGAACTTTCAACATTGCAGTCAAGCATATATAAAAACTTTATTTTATTGATTGGCCTCAATTAGACAATGCAAAGACTATAGAAGCAGCCTCTTTTCTTTTCTTTACTTTACTTTACTTTTCTTGCTCACTGAGTTAGTACCCCATTATCTCCCCAAAGGTGCCCAAGGCACCTAACAATAATTAAAAGGACAAGAAAATGTAGTCAAATGCAGTAACATAGCAATAAAACTTCAAAATACAAAAAAAAAAACTAAGGCAGGTCAGATTTATTCAATTCAATTAAAAGGATGTTATTATTATTATCATTGTATTGTCGAAGGCTTTCATGGCTGGAATCACTAGGTTCTTGTAGGTTTTTTCGGGCTATAGGGCCATGTTCTAGAGGCATTTCTCCTGACGTTTCGCCTGCATCTATGGCAAGCATCCTCAGAGGTAGTGAGGTCTGTTGGAAATAGGAAAATGGGTTTATATATCTGTGGAATGACTGGGGTGGGGCAAAGAGCTCTCTGCTGAAGCTAGGTGTGAATGTTTCAGTTGACCACCTTCATTAGCATTTGAAGGCCTGGCTGAGCCTGGGAAAATGTTCTGTTGAGAGGTGTTAAGATGTGCCTGGTTGTTTCCTCTCTGCTGTTTTGCTGTAGTAATTTTAGAGTTTTTTAATTTTAACTCTAAAATTACTACAGCAAAACAGCAGAGAGGAAACAACCAGGCACATCTTAACACCTCTCAACAGAACATTTTCCCAGCTCAGCCAGGCCTTCAAATGCTAATGAAGGTGGTCAGCTGAAACATTCACACCTAGCTTCAGCAGAGAGCTCTTTGCCCCACCCCAGTCATTCCACAGATATATAAACCCATTTTCCTATTTCCAACAGACCTCACTACCTCTGAGGATGCTTGCCATAGATGCAGGCGAAACGTCAGGAGAAATGCCTCTAGAACATGGCCCTATAGCCCGAAAAAACCTACAAGAACCTAATTTGATCATATTTACCAGTCAACACATAAACCAAAGGTCTCCCTAAATGAAAAGGCCATTACTTGTTGGCAAACAGGTTGTGTTTCAACTTCTGCTTTGCTAAATTGATTTCTCTGCTATAGACCTCACTACTATCTCTCACATTTCCAAACATTCCCTGTTCCCAGATGCTTTACAATAATTATTTTGCCTGAAACTGTCAATCCAGGTAGGTGCCATGGTTACATTTCTTCATGGTTAAATTTCTTCTACTTCTGGCATAAATGATCTACCGTAAATATCTACTCATGGTCCCCCAGTGTCATCAATATTTCCAGAAAACCCACTTCTCTAAGAAATATTTTATCTGTATATGTGGTTTTCTGAATTACAGTCAGTCCTCCATAGCCATAGATTCTGTACCCATAGATTCAACCATCTATGGCTTGAAAAAAATTCTCCCCAGAATTCCAAAGAGCAAATCTGGATTTCATTTTTTTTTATTATCAGGGGAATGCACTGATTTTGGAATCCACAAGAATCCTTGGGACAACCAAGGGCCCACTGTAGTGTGTCTGTTGAATAATAACAGAGAGAGATATCTTAGCCTATGTACATTAGCAATAATAGCCAGTATATTAACCAATATATAGCCAGTATATTAACCAAAACATCCCTACAAAAGGTACAGACTAATTGTTCTGATGCTTATTATTGTCAAACAGTGTTAGTTGTTTTCACAAATGTATTTATTTGGCTACAATGGAGGCATAGTTAGCACTCTCAACTTGGCATAGTATGGCACGTTTTCCATTGACAACAAAACAACACAGACTGGCATGATGGATTTTGTATCCTGTTCTAGATATTTTTTTTCTTTCCTGACTTATTATGCTCAAAAGAAGAGGGTCATACTTTTAGTATCTATCTAAAAATTGGGACTCTTACATCTCCACTTTTCTTACTTGATTTATGCTCCTGCTTATTTTATCTCATCAGCTACTCTTCTAAAAATATGCCTTAGCCAACATTGCTTTACATGTGCTCACTATGTCTGTTCACACACAACAGGAAAAACCTAACAGAAATATTGTTTCAGAAGATCCATAACAATCCAAAAGCTTTCCATTTTGATGCATCGTTCCATCCCAATGGAAGCATGTGCAGTGAATCTACTATTGTGGGTTGCATAGTTCAGTCTTGATATCCACTTTGGGGCACCAAAAGTAATAGGAGCAAAGACGAATTATTGCCAGGACTCTTTAAAATATTTGGTGCATGGATTTTGTTCTGTGAAAAGTCTGCAATATTTAAGGAAAAATATTTCCCTAAAGCCAATTCATTGGTGAGCCTTGAGGAGAATGGCTTAATTCATTTAACTCAACTGGTCACTGGGAGATATTTGTTATGACTCAGATTTCCACAATGTATTGCATTTTTTAATTTTTGTAAAAGGTAACTGTGATCATTTTTTTTTTTGTTAAAAGGAAAAAAGGATCATTGTAATATGTTTAAGATTAACAGATTTGCTTCAGTGTGTGCTATCATGACTTTCCATTTCCTCGAATGCATGATGAAGCACAATTGCTGGTAATAACCCTATGACCAATATTTATGAACAGTGTTAGGCTTTTTGTACCCTATTTCATTCCCATTCCTACCCCACTACTATGTACATCTCTCTGGTTTTAATACCTTATCCTGCATGGAAGGAGAAATACTGTAATCCATAAAAGTTCGTGCAAAGATAAATGGCACCTCAAGACTTTGTATATCATTTCTAAAGCTTATGAATGTTGTTCTATGGCATGCTGATATACAGAGGGAAGGACCGAACTTGCTGACTTTATAGAAAATAGTTTTAGAGATTTGGACTAGGAATGGGGAGACATAGATTCATATCTCTTCACAGTCATGATAATCAAAAATTCCCCATTGGTCAGTCATTATATTTCTCTTTAAATTATCCCGCAGGGCTAGAATAGAATATAATAGAATAGAATGATAAGACTTGGAAGTGAACAGAAGGGTAATCCAGTTCAACCCCCCAGGAATACACAATCAAAACATTCCTGGCAGATGGTCATCTAGCCATCCGTCAGGAATGGCTGGAGACAACTCCTCACTCCAAGGTAGCATATTCCACTGTTGAATAGATATTAGATGTTTTTCCTAATATTTGAATGGAATCTCTTTAGATGAGTTGTTCTGATGGCCATGTGGAAATGGAGGAATGCTTTGTAAGGTCTGTGACTTCCTTGAGAAATGCAAGGCGGGATTACGGTACATTGAAACACATGTAAGAAACACTTAATGTGGTTATCAGCTTGCATTGTTACAGATGTCCATCGAAGTTGAAATGCAGTACTCAGATGTTACCATGAGGAGGCATGTCAGGCATGCTGTTTATTTAAACCTTTTATTTCAGAATTCAGGAACAGTACAATCCAGGGAGGGACATGATAACACAGAAAATGAATGGTTTGGAATAGCAAATCAGCACTACAGACAATCTCAAGCAGAGCTATGGAAAGTTATATTTTGAACTATTGCTCCCAGAATCTCTGTCAGCATGGCCAATGACTGGGAAATTCAGGAAAGTATGGTTGCAAATACTAACATTTCCCAGTTTGTTTGTTTATTTACTGTATTTTTTTACCCCTCTCTATCGCATCCCAAAGGGGTCTCAGAGCAGCTTACATTTATATAATATGCCATGTTTTTATCCCAAGACATGACCCAAGCTGCTTTTGCTATTGCATCATTAGCCTTCTTGGGCATCTTTACTGTAACTAGGTTTCTAACTAGCCCTGCTCCTATTGGTAGATAAATAAAGCTTTTCTATATAAATTATTTAGAGCCCCAGGTGGCACAGTGGGTTAAATCGCTGAGCTGTTGAACTTGTTGACCAAAATGTTGCACATTGGAATCTGGGAGCATGGTGAGCTCCTGGTGTTAGCCCCAGCTTCTGTCAACCTAGCAGTTCGAAAACATTCAAATGTGAGTAGATCAATAGGTACCGCTCTGGCAGGAAGGTAATGGCACTCCATGCAATCATTCCAGCCACATGACCTTGGAGGTGTCTACAGACAACACCAGCTCTTCAGCCAGAGGTGGCCCTAGGTAATTTTCAATGGTAAGCAAACAGTATTCCACCCCACTCCCCCAAATCAATCACTGATATATATTTTCTGTTCATCATGGGAGTTCTGTGTGCCATATTTGGTTCAATACCATCATTGGTGGAGTTCAGAATGCTCTTTGATTTTAGGTGAACTATACATACCAGTAACTACAACTCGCATATGTCAAGGTCTATTTTCCCCCAAGAGCGCCTCAAAAGCACCCCTGGGCAAAATCAACTATACTGCAAATGCTTACTTTGCCTAATGGGTTGAGCCGCCCCTGTCTTCAGCTTAGAAATGGAAATGAGCACCAACCCCCAGAGTTGGACACGATTGGACTTAATGTCAAGGGAAACCTTTACCTTATATAAATTATTTATCTCTACATTCCACTTGAATGAACAAAGTTGTTGTGCCAGTGATATGTCTCAATTTTGCCAAGACAGTTCATGTGATCTATTTGAATCTAGCTTTAGGCCCGATTAACTGTTCTGGTCATCTTGTAGATGATATATGTAGATGACAAATGACCAAAGTATGTCTCTGCTGGCAGCTCTATGACAGGCAGTATCCTTGACTGTGATAATTCTTGAACTGCGTTGGAATTTGTAAGTACCATTTAGTGGTAATTTCTTTCTTGAAGAGATAGTTTCACAAAGTTGTGCTAAGGGACTTTTATTTGAACCTTGGCTATTGTCCTGGGATATCTCAGTTTCAATCACCCATTCCTTAAAATACTAGATCAATCCAAGGTGATCTATAACTTGACTGCACGTCATAGGACTAAGAGACCCTTAAACAATTCAGTCTTTGGCAGAATGTTAGAAAACTTCAGCTGGTACCAGAGATGAGGAGAAAGTGGATTAGAAATAGAAATCAATGGAAAGTACAGTAGAAGCCTTAAGTTGTTTGGATATCTATAAGAAACAGAAATATAATGTGTTTCCTACACCTTATCAAGTGGTTGTGCTAAAATGGCTCTCTCTTTTCTTTTTTTTCTTTTTTTGCTATATTTTTCAGTGTTCTTTGCAGTCAATTTGCAAAATTACTATTCTCCTGTATGCTAAAGAATCAGTTCAGCATCCTTTACTCCTATTGCCTCAGCCTGCCATGGACCTAGTTGTCTGCAACTTGTTAACAGTGCTCAGGGATCTCAGATCTCATTATTTTATGTGTTGACATATGTCAGACTCAGACTCAATGGTGCAATATCTGTTTCCAGGTGGCCTAGTTCCATGCTGTTCAGTAAGAATTAAAAAAAAAAAAACAGGAATCAGGAGCCATAGTGCTGTAATGCTACTTGTTTCATGTGGTTTTGTTCTTATACTTTCCCAAACCAGTACGGGGCTTAAGTCATATGGAAACTAGGACAATTTTCCAAGGATATTATCCCATGTGTTTGTACCATGTATATATTTCATGCGGATATGCCAATTACAAGGAGCTGGCTGATCATTTCAGTCTCTCCTAGCAATTTAGTAGTTGATCAAGAATAGCCAGTGTGTAGTTCAAGATCCCTAGATGCCCTACACCAAATTTTAGTCCCAACTAAATTAGGCTTACCAATGTGAAATCGGTAACACAGCACTTACAAAAGTTCAATTTTTTCATTTAGTCCGCTCTACGTGAGATTTACAGCTGAATTTGGACCTTTACTTATAAAAAATATTAACAGCTGAAGTATAATATTTGTTAATATTTAGTTTTTTTTTAAATCTGTTGTAATCACTGTGAGTAACTTAACAGACTGAAAGGTGCTTAAAATGCTTTAAATTGATTGAAGAATATGACACATTTTCCATACCTTGGAAGAGAGATTGGTATGTTCACCCTTCATAAATTGCAGAAAACATTTTATAGAATACGTATTTTGACACTTGTGAGTTGTATATTGCTTATCTTGATACCATTAAATCTGCCTGAAGGCATTAGAAATATCTCTGGGGGAAAACAGTTTCAGTACCAAATCAGAAGGGTCATGAGAACAAAAAAGCACTCATCTGTATTAGACCAAACATTTCTCTGATATGGCTTTCAATCTTTCAGAATGGCTAGCATTCAAGCAAGATGGAAGTAACACCATTCTTCTATTGTCACTCTGGCACTCTCTGGTTGAAGTTTAGAGTTACGCATATACCTTTTCCTCCATGAAGTTGGACCTATTAGATGTGACAATATGTTTTCAAATCTCACCCTTTGAACTTCTACAAAACTTCTGGAAAAATTCCATCAGTGTTGCTTTTGAAAAATTCTGCAAATCTCTTGGGAAGGCAGGTTGACAGACATCAGTGTTCTGGAAGAAGCAAAGACCACCAACATTGGGGTGGTCTCCTCCCCATCAACTCCACTGGACTAGCCACATTGTCTGAATGCCCAATCATTGTTACTCAAAGCAGTTCCTTTTCTCTCAGCTCAAGAACAGAAAAACTAAATGTGGGGGATAGCAAAAAAGATTTAAAAATGGGCTTAAAGGTAACCTTTAAAATGTGGAATAAACACCAAGAACTGGGAAGCCCTGGCCCTCGAGCGCTCTCACTAGAGGTGAGCTGTTACCAACAGTGCTGTGGATTTTGAAGAGTCACGAATGAAGGACGAGAAGGAGAAATGTGTCAAGAGGAAGGTGTGTCAAATAAACCCTTGTCTGGACTGCCTTCCATCTGGAAATCAATGTCCTCACTGTGAAAGACCACGTGGATCCAGAACAGGTCTCTGCAGTCACTTACCACCTTGAAAGACTATTATACTTGGCCACAAGTGATCGCCTGTGATGATGATGATTTTTTTCATACATAAGCCATGGGAAAAGTAGAAGAATGAGCAGGTGAAGATAGAAACTATAAGAAGCAGGGTTGACAGTTTCCCCCAGTGATGTTTTCATGATGAAAATTCCTCCATTGATCTTAATTTTAAAATTATATTGGTGGGATTTAGACTTTGTGTAAGCTTTCTGCACACCTTACGGCAGGGCATAAAGCCCTCCAAATGTTGATGGACAACAACCCCCATCCATCCTCAGTTGCTATGCTAATTAAGGTTGATAGGAGTTGTAGTCTAGCAATATTTGGAAGTCACTGGTACCCCAGCCTTTGGGTATGGGAATAGACAGTTCCTATGGGGACATACAGTACAAACATTTCTTTAACAACTTGATGTCCACTCATAGGCTCTTCAGACATACCAAAGTGACCCAGCCATGAGAAGAATGCTAAATCAACTGTATTTTTACATCATGCCCATTTTTAATGTGGATGGATACCATTTCAGCTGGACCCATGTAAGTAATTCTCCAGCTTTAAGGTATTGTTATCACAAAAGGAAAAATTATTTACCTAGCCCAGTGAACTATTTAGAAAACAAGATCAGAAAGAGAAACAGGTGAAATTCATAGAATCATAGAATCATAGAATCAAAGAGTTGGAAGAGACCTCATGGGCCATCCAGTCCAACCCCGTTCGACCTGGCCCGACCTCCTCCTCAGCCGAAAAGCCTCCGGGGAAAACTGAACCTCGCCGCTACCCCCTCACCCAACGCACAGCTTTACAAAGCGACCCAATCCCCGGCCCGGCCCGTCCTCCTTTACCAGCCGAAAAAGCACGCGGCGCCAATTGAATCTCGCCGTTACTCCCCCAACCCTCGCACGACCACGCAGAGCAACCCAACCCTCCCCCATACAGGCGCACCTTCTGCTGCCCACGGACTCCGGCAGACCTCGGGGAGCTCTCGGTGCCAGCGGCCTGTCCGCTTCCCCGAGTGGAGGGCGGGAGCCGCCTCGGGGGCGTCCGGCCGCTCGGAGGACCAAGCAAGCACTAGGAAAGGCGGAGAGGGGAGGGAGCCGAACCGGGAAGTCTCGCGAGAAGAGCCGAGGGAGGCGAGAAGACGCGGGGAAAGGCGAGACTTCGGTAACCGCGCGAGACATTGAACAGAAACAAGGAAGTGGATTAACTAAAGAAAGAACTAAAGGTAAAGAAGGAACCTTAAGAATAAAATAAAACAAGGCACTAAATAAAGATAGAAGATAGAAGAAAAGAAAGAGCCTAAGGAAAGGAGGAGGAGGGGAGTGGAGAGAAGCGGAGGGAGAAAGAGGAAGGAAAGCTGGGGAAGAGGAAGAACCTTATTAGAATAGACGGAGAGACGGAGAGATGAACATCGAACAACAAATAACTAGGAAAGAGAAACCAGCAACATAACCACAGCAGCTATAAACAACAACATAACTACAACAGTAATAAAGCGCACCCTGAAAGGACTAATAATACAAGAATTTGAAGAAGATCAAAAGAGGACTCTACCACATAAAAATGTCATCACAAAAGAAACCAGAGAGAGATAAAGAAAAGGATAAAAAAACCGGCAATAAAAAAGACACACCAGCAGAAGAACCCAACATCAAAGACGTCCTAGCAGAGATAACAAAACTACACCTTGTGGTGCAAGCGATGCAAACCAACCAGGATACGCAAAATGCAGCGTTGAAAAATGAACTAAAAGAAGAACTTAAAGAAATGAAAAAAGACATTAAAGAAGAACTGCATGTAGCCCTCAAGAACGAATTGAGGGAAACAAAAGATGGCATTACAAGACTGACACAAGAGAACAATGACCTCCGAAAGGAGAATGAGAACATAAAGGATAAACAATTAGACCTAAGAAAGAAGATGAAGATAATGGAAGAGACAATTGCATCATTGACACAGTATCGGGAGACACAGGAAGGCAGAGAAAAAGAATGTCAACTCAGGTTTCGCAACATACAAGAAAGTGACCAGGAAAATATTAGAGAAATTGTAACGGACATAATAGCTAACATTTGTAAGACCTCCACTGAAATAGCGGAGAAAAACTTGGATAGAGTTATGAGAGTCAACTCCAACTACGCAAAAAAGAACAAAGTCCCTCGGGATGTGCTAGTTTTCTTCACAAAAAAAGCTACAAGAGACGAGATCCTCAGAGAAAATGCCAAATCCCCCACAGTGTATAAAGACAACAGAATTGTGATCCTCAAAGAAATACCCATAGCAATATTAGAGAGACGAAGAAAATATCATTTTTTAACAGGTGAATTGAAAAGAAGAAACATCCGATTTAGATGGGAGAAACCAGAGGGACTGATGGTCACATGGCATAATACAAAACACTGGTTAACAACAGAGGAAAAAGCCAAAACCTTCTGGGAGAAAATGTTACAGAAAGAACCTCAAAAAGACTCAGGAGAAGGAGAAGAAGAGGGAGAGGTCCCAACAACACCCATGACAGAAGAAATCAGTGAGGACGAGAGCAATGGCGAAAGCTCCCCATTAGGGGGAGGACAGAACAAAAAGAAAAGGAAAAGAGCAAGAAAAAAGTCACCAAAACAGCTTATCCAAGAGACGGACCCAGAGAGGACCAATCACAAGACTACAAATAAGGTAATAAAAAACTTTTTTAATGGACCTAAACACTAAGATTAAGATAATATCCCAGAATGTGAATGGAATGAACTCTCCGGGGAAAAGGCAAAGAGTTTGGCACTGTCTGAGGAAAGAACGATGTGAAATAATATGTCTCCAGGAGACACACATTATCAAAAACCATGCGCATTACCTAGAACAAAGTAGTTTGGGAAAGCTATTCCAAGCAGTTAGCACAGAAAAAAAAAGAGGCCTAGCCACATATGTTAAAGACAACCTAGCCTCCAAACTAGCGTTTAAAGACGGGGAAGGGAGAATTTTAGGGGTATTGGTGGATATACAAGGACGAAACATCTTAATCTGTAACATATACGCCCCCAATGGAGGGAAATCTAAATTCTGTGAGAAACTCCGTAATTTTATATTGGGAACAGAATATGATGAATTAATGATAATAGGAGATTTCAACGGAGTTGTAGATATTAATAAAGATAAATCAAAAAAAAGGGGAAAAAAACCACAGCAATCTTCAACACTCCCGAAAGCCTGCCTTCAAATGTTAGAAGAGTTGGGGACAATAGATACATGGAGAAACCAACATAGGAATGACACTGATTATACATATTTTTCAAGCCGCCACCAAACATGGTCGAGGATAGATATGGTATGGTGTTCCGCACCATTATCAAAGAAGGTGAGAAAGATAAAAATATTGCCCATCCTGACCTCGGACCATGCCCCAATACTCACGATATTACAAGAAACCATTACCCCAGGAGCAACATATATGTGGAGATTAAAGGATTCTTTAATTAAAGGGGAAAAAAACATAAAAAGATATAGAGAATTAATAGAAGAATTCTTTACACTCAATACAGAAAAAGAGACTTCTATAGAATTAATCTGGGACGCCTCCAAAGCATACGTTAGAGGATTCCTTATAGAACACAATGCCAGACTGAACAAAAAGAGAAAAGAAGAACAGGAAAAACTGAGGAGAGAATTAGAAGGGAAAGAAAAAATAGCGAAATTAAACCCACATAATAAAAAACTACAATACCAAATCTCAACTCTAAGGAAAAAAATAACAACTTTACATCTGGAAGAAATGGAAAAAAAATTAAGATATGTCAGACAAGACTACTTTGAGAACGCGAATAGAGTGAGTAAATGGCTGGCGAGGAAACTGGCGATGAGAAGGCATTCCAGAACTATTACACAAATCGAAGAAAAAGATAAATCTTATTACCAAACACCAGACATAATGGAACAATTTACTAAATATTATAGAAACCTATATGCTGATGATAACATCCCTAAAGAAAAAGTTATGCAGTTCCTAGGTAAGCAAAAAATAACAAAAATAACAGAAGCCCAAAGACAGGTGTTAAATAAAAAGATATCAAAAGAAGAGATGGAAAAAGTCATCAAAAACCTACCACACAATAAAGCGCCTGGACCGGACGGATTCACCGGTATTTATTACAAAACTTTTATAGATCAGTTAATAACGCCACTTTTAAAAACAATGAACAAAGTAATGGAGGAAGGGAGAATCCCAGATACATGGAGGTATGCGAACGTGACCCTGATACCAAAAGACAATACGGATAAGACCAAAATAAAAAATTATAGACCGATATCCCTCTTGAACCAGGACTACAAAATATTTACCAACATATTAGGAAACAGATTAAAAGAGATCCTAAGTGAGCGAATAGAAGAAGAACAGAAAGGTTTCCTACCAAAGCGCCAATTAAGAGACAACATACGCGTCATAATAGACGCGATAGAATATTATGAGAAGAAGATACAAAAAGAAGTAGCATTTTTATTTCTCGACGCAGAAAAGGCGTTTGATAATGTCAATTGGTTCCTATTCAAAGAGACACTCAAAGAAATGGATACAGGATATAATTTTTTAAATGCGATAGAATCATTATATGACAAACAATTCGCAAATATATTAATAAATGGGCAAAAATCAGAAACAATTAGAATTGAAAAAGGAACAAGGCAGGGTTGCCCCCTATCCCCCCTGATATTCATTCTCACCCTTGAATTACTTTTATGTAATATTAGAAGAAACGAAGAACTGCAAGGGCTGCGAATTGGGAAATATTCATTTAAGATCCGGGCGTATGCAGACGACCTCGTCTGCATCGTAGAAGACCCAATAAACACGATAGACAAATGGTGGCAAGAAATAAACCGATATAGTGAAGTAGCAGGCTTCAAAATAAACAGAGATAAAACTCAAATGCTTATCAAAAACATGACAAAGAAGAAGGAAGAAGAATTACAGAAAAGAACATCGATCAAGATTATGAAGAAGGTGAAGTACCTAGGGATTATAATAACAACAAAAAATATACAACTATACAAAAATAATTATGAACAGAGATGGTCCAAAATCAGAGAAAAACTGAAGAGATGGGAAACACTACAACTCTCCCTAATGGGAAGAATCGCGGCAGTTCAAATGAACATCTTGCCAGACATACTCCACCTCTTTCAGGCAATACCAATAATAAAGACCAAGCGGATATTCCAAATTTGGCATAAAGACATCACAAATTTTATCTGGAAAAGAGGCAGACATAGAATCAGCTTCACCAACTTGTGTGATAACAAGAAGAGAGGAGGCATGGCACTACCAAACCTGCAGTTGTACCACGACTCAGCGGCCATCTGCTGGATAAAAGAATGGATAGGACTTAAGGAAAGAAAATTATTAACTCTGGAAAGCTTTGATTTGATGCAGGGATGGCACAACTATTTGTGGAGAGGGAAAACGAAAGGAGAAAGTAGCTTTAGAAACCACTTTTGTCCGAGATCCCCTCATTAGAATCTGGGAAAGATACAAAACAAAACTCTATCAAAAAACACCGCTCTGGTTCTCTCCCAACGAAGCCAGCCAAATCAAAGGAACATCCAGAGAACTATGGTTAACGTACAAAGAAATATTAAAAAGCTCTCCTCAAGGATACTCAATCAAAACCCAAGAAGAACTTAGACTGTACGACCCCACTCTTTCCTGGTTCCAATACCACCAAATAAAAGAAAGCTTCAATAGGGACAAACTGATAGGCTTTGAAAAAGAAGATACGATATGCGAGAAAATTTTAAAGACGGACAACAAACACATTAAAAGAGCATACCAACAATTGTTGACATGGGAGACAGAAAGAGAACAAATAAAAGACAACATGGTCAGATGGGCCAGAGATATAGGCCGCCCCATTAAGTTAGAGGAATGGGAAGAAGTATGGACAAGAAAATTAAAACTCACCTATGCCAATGAAATCAAAGAAAATTGGTACAAGCTTTTCTACAGGTGGTACCTAACGCCGGAACAGATAGCTAAATTTAGCAAAGGAAAAACAGAGGGGAAATGTTGGAAGTGCCAAAGAGCGAATGGAAGCTATATACATATGTGGTGGAGCTGCAAGAGAATTAAAACTTTGGCGCCAGATTTGCATAGAGATAGGAAAAATCCTCCAAATGAAAATAAGAACTAAAACCGGAATATTTCTTGCTAGGAATTACAGATTTTAAGATGGAAAAAAATGAAAACAAGATTTTCTTTTATCTCTCCACAGCTGCCCGGATTAAATTAGCACAGTATTGGAAATCCAAGGAGATACCGACGAGGGAAGATTGGATCCTGAAAATATATGATATAATGAATATGGATTTACTAACGAACAAACTCTCAAGCAACTTAGACAAAACCAAAAATACAGACTGGGATAGAGTTCTGAACTACCTCGAGAATATAAAGAACTGAAAGAAAGGAAGACATGCACAAAACAAGGAAAACTGAAGAGATACCAGATGGACATAGAACATGACAGACTTAGTTCACACACACAGACCTGCATGGAAGTTTTTCTTACCCCCCAGCCCTACCCTGTACTTCCCCTTACTTTAACCCCCCCCCCTTAGCGGAAGGAATGATGAAAGGACAGATGATGTAGTAGTGAATGAATGTACACCAACTCCCCCTCCCTTAAGTATGGATGGAAGCCCTCCCCCATTCCCTTTCTTCTACCCCCACATTTTCCCCATTCCTCTTATGCACTCCCCGATTTTTATACCTTTTGTATCGAAAACTTAATAAAAAAAAAAAAGATAGAAACTATAAGAAGCAGGGTTGACAGTTTCCCCCAGTGATGTTTTCATGATGAAAATTCCTCCATTGATCTTAATTTTAAAATTATATTGGTGGGATTTAGACTTTGTGTAAGCTTTCTGCACACCTTACGGCAGGGCATAAAGCCCTCCAAATGTTGATGGACAACAACCCCCATCCATCCTCAGTTGCTATGCTAATTAAGGTTGATAGGAGTTGTAGTCTAGCAATATTTGGAAGTCACTGGTACCCCAGCCTTTGGGTATGGGAATAGACAGTTCCTATGGGGACATACAGTACAAACATTTCTTCAACAACTTGATGTCCACTCATAGGCTCTTCAGACATACCAAAGTGACCCAGCCATGAGAAGAATGCTAAATCAACTGTATTTTTACATCATGCCCATTTTTAATGTGGATGGATACCATTTCAGCTGGACCCATGTAAGTAATTCTCCAGCTTTAAGGTATTGTTATCACAAAAGGAAAAATTATTTACCTAGCCCAGTGAACTATTTAGAAAACAAGATCAGAAAGAGAAACAGGTGAAATTCATAGAATCATAGAATCATAGAATCAAAGAGTTGGAAGAGACCTCATGGGCCATCCAGTCCAACCCCCTGCCAAGAAGCAGGAATATTGCATTCAAATCACCCCTGACAGATGGCCATCCAGCCTCTGTTTAAAAGCTTCCAAAGAAGGAGCCTCCACCACACTCCGGGGCAGAGAGTTCCACTGCTGAACGGCTCTCACAGTCAGGAAGTTCTTCCTCGTGTTCAGATGGAATCTCCTCTCTTGTAGTTTGAAACCATTGTTCCGCGTCCTAGTCTCCAGGGAAGCAGAAAACAAGCTTGCTCCCTCCTCCCTGTGGCTTCCTCTCACATATTTATACATGGCTATCATATCTCCTCTCAGCCTTCTCTTCTTCAGGCTAAACATCCCCAGCTCCTTAAGCCGCTCCTCATAGGGCTTGTTCTCCAGACCCTTGATCATTTTAGTCGCCCTCCTCTGGACACATTCCAGCTTGTCAATATCTCTCTGAATTGTGGTGCCCAGAATTGGACACAATATTCCAGATGTGGTCTAACCAAAGCAGAATAGAGGGGTAGCATTACTTCCTTAGATCTAGACACTATGCTCCTATTGATGCAGGCCAAAATCCCATTTGCTTTTTTTGCCGCCACATCACATTGTTGGCTCATGTTTAACTTGTTGTCCACGAGGACTCCAAGATCTTTTTCACACGTACTGCTCTCGAGCCAGGCGTCCCCCATTCTGTATCTTTGCATTTCATTTTTTCTTAGATATAGTGAGATATTACAGTGCAGTAGCAGAGGTAAGAACATAAATAATCATTTTTGTCACACTACATATATTAAATATACAAGTTCACATTACACTTGAAGTGTAACAAAACTTTCTTACTTTAAGAAACAGTGAACAGAGTGTATTGGTTTAACATCTGACATTTGACAGACCTTCTGCTTGTTATTCGAAGGTTTATAGCTAGAGAGACAATGGTTGCACCCTTATCCCACTCCCACAACTAGGTACTCTGCTGAAATACCTGAGGCTTTAATGTCATGAACCATTAGTGCATCTGATGAATTGGATTAAATTCCATAACAGCTCATGTTAAAATATATTATTTAGTTGTAAAGGTTCTTTTAGATTGCCTCTCTCCTCTTTTTGATATGTAAATGTACAGTATAGTATAATCCACAGATTCAATATCCATAGTTTCACTTACCCAGGCTACAGAAATATTCCCCCAGGAAATATCTGTAGGTCTCTCTAGGTCAGGCATGGGCAAACTTTGGCCCTCCAGGTGTTTTGGATTTCAACTCCCACAATTCCTAACAGCCAGTGCAATTATATTGCATGCTTCCAGCCCAAGTATATTCAAGATATAGGGTTCGCTATTATTCATGGTTGCAGGAATCTGCAACATATCTCTTTCATGGATACTGGGGTCTTACTGTATTTTAAAGAACACCATTTAACAATTGCATAATAATTTATAATGTATGTATGTGTGTATGTATAGTGTTTTGTTCTATTTTATGAAATCTGTGGATAGGATCGATTCTGGAGAAAAACAAGATCAAAGAATTCAAGGTTCCACTGCCATGGAGTAGATGCTAATCGTAACTGGAAAGTGAAATGGTGTGGTAAGTTGGGAAGTAAATCTGAACATCAGACACTTTAGCTTTTTCATTATCCATGATATCACACAAAAGCACAAATTATCCAAACTGTATATGGCTGGAGGCCTATTTATACCATTGAAATTATTTCAAGGTCAACTCAGACTCTTGTTATTGTTATTATTGTACTTTAACATGCACAGCCTTGTACTACCCTCCACCAGTTGGGCTATAATCTGCTTTCATATAGGATAGAGTGGAGAACTAATGGGCTGGCAAATACTTTTGACAGCAAAACTCACAAGTCTAACCAGCATTGCTGATGTAACAGATGATAACATATGCATTCACCAGCCTTGCTCTAGCCAGTGGTTCTCAACCTGTGGGTCCCCAAGTGTTTTGGCCTACAACTCCCAGAAATCCCAGCCAGTTTACCAGCTGTTAGGATTTCTGGGAGTTGAAGGCCAAAACATCTGGGGACCCACAGGTTGAGAAACACTGCTGTAGATCACTTTATGTAGTATAGATGTAAAGCCCAAAATAAAATAAGTGTGATCTATTTGCAAACACCTACTTATTTGTGAGATTGATTTTTCTACAAATTGTAGAGGCATTCAGGAGGCTAACAACAATAATAACCAAAGAAAAGGAACAACAACAAAACTCACTAAAAGCAAAATAATTTTAAAGCAACTGTTTTCTTTTCAAGGAAAAAAAATCTAATTCAAGGGAAGAACTGATGCCCAAAGCAATTACATGCCATTCATACTTGTCAAGAAAAAGAGCCTCTTTCATGTGCCTTGTAAAAGATAATAGAATTCTACATTTGGAAGAGTTCCCATGGAGCATCGAATCCAATCCCCTGCTCAGTTCAGGATCTCCTTCTAGAGCAGGGGTCCTCAAACTATGGCCCGGGGGCCAGATACAGCCCTCCAAGGTCATTTTCCTAGCCCTTGCTCAGGGTCTGAAATGACTTGAAAACACACAATAACAACAAAAATCCTATCTCATCAGCCAAAAGGCCCACACTTCCCATTGAGATACCAATAAGTTTACACTTGTTAAAATTGTACTTCATTTTAATTATTGTATTGTTTTTAAGTGTCTTTTCCACTACAAATAAGATATATGCAGTGTGCATAGGAATTCTTTCCTGCTTTTTTCAAATTAGAATCCGGCCCTCCAACAGTTTGAGGGACTGTGACCTAGCCCTCTGTTTAAAAAGTTTGTGGATCCCTGTTCTAGAGCATCCCCATCAGGCAGCTTTCCAGCCTCTTTTTGAAGATATCCAGAGAAGGAGACCCCACCAGTTCCATTACTGATCCACTCTGACTGTCATGAAGTTCTTACTAATTATGAACTGAAATCTACGCTCACAAGTAACTTAAAACCATTAGACCAGGTTCTACCCTCTGCAGCAGTAGAGAACATGGCTGCCCCTGCCACTCAATGAGAGCCCTTGAGATATTAAAAGAATACAATTGTGCCACCATCCCTCATTCATCTCTTTGCCAAACAGAACATGTCCAGTTTCTTGAACCTTTCTTCATATACTTTGTTTTCCATATTTCATATCATTCGTGCTGCTCTTCTCTGAACCTGTATCATTTTTAAACCTAGAAATGGATGCTGTATTACAGATGAGACCTGACCAGCATAGAAATAGTTGGGCTGTTGCTTCCCTTAATGTGGCAACTATGGTTCTGTTAATGCAGGCTAAAATAATATTTGCCCAGATCCTTAAATAATGGCCAAATCGACTAGGGCTTCTGGGAGATGAAGCTCAACAATATGAGAAAAGGTTAGAACTATTGCTTTGCTGCACAAAGTAAAGGGGAATGTAGCAAGCAGAATCATCCTTCCACATTCATAGAGATCAGGGTTGGAGAATCTCTGTTAATGTGGAAAAGCTACACATCTCTCCAAGGATAGGGCAAGGCCAGCAAGTTGTGGTGGTGGTGGGTGCCCCTGTGTCTTCTTGAAAGCTGTAGAGAGTAAGGTAGTTTCAGTTGCCAACCATCATCCAAAAAGCAACCAGTAGACTTTAGTGGAATGGATGGTGAGCTGTGGGGAGTGGAGTAGCCATGATTTCAGTCATAATACCCCCCCCACCCCCCCACCCCCCACTGAAGCCTACTGGTTGCTGGACTTCATTCGGGAAGTTGCAGAGCAAGGATCATTGCAAAGCAGTGATGATCTGAGTCACCAATCACAACCTCCAAGTCTACGAAAGAGCAGATGTCCAAGGACAGGGTTAGTGACTCAGATCATCGCTTTCTTGCCCCCTGAAGCCATAGGGATCAGAGCACTGCACGTTGGCCTCAAGCAGCAAACCTGCAAATAATCAAATCTGTGAATGCCAAACCTGTGAACATGGAAGGCCAATCATACATTTTTTTTAAACCAAAAACTCAATTGCCTTTCAAAAACTGGTCTTATTTATGTACATATCTTTTAGCACTATATTGCTTGTTATTACATCGTATACATCCAATCCAACCAGGAATTCCTTATTTCAGTCAGTTTTCCCTCTCACATCGTAAATGCACACATTAATCTCATTTTGCTTAGATAGCATTCCCACATGTGTCTTTTTTCTTTTAAAAAAAGATAAGCTTATAGAAATCTGATTCTGACAACAGTCCTTTCTTTTGATGTAAATGATTTTTCAGATGCAAAAGGGAGATACAGGACGGCCATGTATTTGCCCAAGGACACAAAGCAAGGCAATAACAATGACAGAATGAGAGCTTGCTCTGATTCCATAAACATTTGTCATCTTATATTGCCTCTCTCAGTGAGACAAAAGAAAATGAACAGGGAAATCATTTTTTGATGTTATCGTGACCTCCTTCAATCCATATTCTTATGAAGATGTCTTAGTTCTGCTTCTAGTTTTCAGGCCTTGAAATTCTTTACTGGTGCCTGAGGGCAGGTATGTTTTGAGCATGAAGCTTTTTTTTTTCATTTTGTCAGCTCAGGTTTGGCATTCAACATACTCGGCTGTTTCTTTTTCTTTAAGGCAAGATTTTAATGTCAGCCGTGTTTCGCTTTACTGGCACAAACACCTTGATATAATATTTACCTCTTCTTGCATTTTATGTTGGATGGAATACAAGAACTACTCCAGCTATTTATGGCTCACATTTTAGATAAAATGGAAATATTTGTTTAATTGCAACTCTCTTCTTATGTCTTATTTAAAATGCAATTATAAATCTAGTCTGTCTGTGTTTTGGGTGTGGTCTTAAGATCACATTATTCTGACAGATCAAATGCTTTGTGGTAGATTCCGTGGCTTCCCCAATTTAATATCTCATCTAATAAATCCTGTGAAAAATTGCTTTTGGTTCGGTCTGATGAAAAATAAAATTACAACATTTCACCATAAGGTATCTGTCAGAAGATAAATCTAGATTATTATATTGAAATTATTTTAATATCTCAAAACTGACAGAAACAAGCAAGAATCTTGAAAATGCAAATTAGTATAGGATTATATTTTTTGAAGAAAAAGTCCACAAACAACATCTTACTTTGAGATATAGCTTTTTGCTTTTTTTCGAGGGACTTTCCACCTTTTGAACGTACTCTCATAATTATTGCAACTCCGCCAACATTGTGGAGACTTCATCACCCTCTGACTCTCTCACTGTGATCTCACCCAGCACTTTTTTCTTTAGCTGAGAATGACAGGGTGAGAAAATTTTGTCAGATCATTCCTTCTCCCTCTCTCCTGTTTTTCTTCAGTGAAGGCCCAGTACTGTCACCACTGCTGCAAAAACTTCCACTTCTCTAGTGTATATGTCAGTAAAATAATTATAACAACAGGGTTTATCAACTATAACACAGTTAAAAACATAATAAACATACGAACAGCTTCTGGCTGATGAGATAGGATTATTGTTGCTGCTGCTGTGTGCTTTCAAGTCGTTTCAGACTTAGGTTGACCCTGCGCAAGGGCCGGGTAAGTGACCTTGGAGGGCTGTTTCTGGCCCCCGGGTCTTAGTTTGAGGACCCTTGCTCCAAACTCTTCACACCATCATAATATTATAGCACTTCCTACTGTCATACCATTTTGCTATCATAGTGTTAATACGCCTAGTGTTACAGTAGGTTAAACCGCTGAGCTGCTGAACTTGCTGACCGAAAGGTTGGTGGTTCAAATCCGGGGAGTGGGGTGAGCTCCCATTGTTAGCCTCAACTTCTGTCAACCTAGCATTTCAAAAACAGGAGCCCCGGTGGCACAGTGGGTTAAACCACTGTGACAGCAGGACTGAAGACCGACAGGTCACAGGTTCGAATTCAGGGAGAGACAGATGAGCTCCCTCTATCAGCTCCAGCTCCTCATGCGGGGACATGAGAGAAGCCTCCCACAAGGATGATAAAACATCAAATCATCCGGGCGTTCCCTGGGCAAGTCCTTCCAGACGGCCAATTCTCTCACACCAGAAGCAACTTGCAGTTTCTCAGGTTGCTCCTGACACGACAAAAAAAAGTTCAAAAACATACAAATGTGAGTAGATCAATAGGTACCGCTTCTGCGGTGCTCCATGTAGTCATGCCAGCCACATGACCTTTGAGGTATCTACGGACAATGCCAGCTCTTCAGCTTAGAAATGGAAATGAGCACCACCCCCCAGAGTTGGACACAACAAGACTTAATGTCTGGGGAACTAATTACAAAATGAAGGCTGAGATACAAAAGTTGGTAATGACACAATTAATATGGATGAAAAAGGCTGTGCAGATTACACTCTTGAAGTGCAAATGTGTTAAAGGTGTGGTAGAGAGCATCAACAATCAACTATTCTCTCAAGACTTTAGGTTCTATGGCATATTATTTTACCACACACACAAATGGAGAACCCCAGTAGGTGAAATCAGAACCTTATATGAATTGAGTATATTTCTTATAGAACCAAGAATAGGACATACACACCCGGCCAAAGGTTCCATTGGAACATATGGGGTCCATTAGGAAATATAATAGTGTGGAAAGATGTTCCTGAAGCAAGCAGTTCAAAAACCACTGGATCATAGCATGTGACAAGACATTAAAACAGGATGTTCTTTTGGGTTGAATGGCTTGGCAATTTTATTTTACTGAATAGTACACTATTGGCATTTCTCTACTCCTAACTACCCATCTGTTCACAGGCAAGGCTAACCTTTATTAGCAAATTCTTTCAGATAGTCATAAAGAGCAATACCCATGTCTTAAACTTCACATAGCCTTGCTAGATTTTTCCTTCTTAAAGTGGTGCTACTTAGTTATTTCTTAATTATCAAGAAAACAATGTAAACAATATATAGTTAATGTTAGTAATAATCATAATGCACTGTTGATTCTCATTCCCTTAATGTTGGTGGCACATTACCAAAAATACTTATTTTAAAAGAGTATTCAATAAACTCCTTGTGGCAGAAATAATGAGCTGTGAAGGTCTTATTACTATGCAGAATGGCTGAAAACACAATTATTATGTGAAGCACAAGCCAGTGATACAAAAGATGTATAAGACATCTCGTTATTGCTAAGTATGATTAAAGACCAAAAAAATGGTTAGCAAATGAAAAGCATGGAATCTGTATTCCTGTGCTCACAACATAAATAAAAAGAGCCATGCTAGATACAACAAGTCAATCATCTTCTCTTTTACATAAGTATTCTGGAGTTCTAAAGCCACTGCAGTAAATGTTTCAAGCTATAGCCATGCTTGTTTAATTTGAACAGCTGTGCTGGGAGAACAGCAAGTTTTTGATTTGTGCAAAGTACTTTCAGCAAAATTGCAATCATTAGTTCCAAATAGAACAGAACTATTAAATCAGTGAAACCTAAAAAATGCATTGATTCATTGGGCTACTGTGTTTGGGGATAACAATTGGATTTGGTCCTTGTTCTAACAGGTTGAAATATGTGTGTAATTCAAATGTACTCTTGTACCCTGAACACTGTGCCTAAACCGCTGAGCTGCTGAACTTGCTGACTGAAAGGTTGGTGGTTCGAATCTGTGGGGCGAGGTGAGCTCCCACTGTTAGCCCCAGCTTCTGCCAACCTGTTGTTGCTGTTTATTTATTTATTTACTATACTTGTATACCGCTTTTCTCAGCCTATCGGCAACTCAAGGTCATTTACAACAAGTCAGTACACATAATATCAAAAACAAATGAAACATTAAAAACAATATAAAACCACAACAAAAACAATAAAACCAACATCATTAGCATCTCCTAGTTAAAAACATTGTCCAATTCCATTGTCGAGTGATTCCATTTCCTATGTCAGTTACTCTGCATTTGTAAACGCTTGCTCAAACAACCATGTCTTAACTTGTCTCCGAAACGTTAAGAGTGAGGGAGCTGATCTAATCTCCTTAGGGAGGGCGTTCCATAGCTGAGGGGCCACCACTGAGAGGGCCCTGTCTCTCGTCCCCGCCAAACGTACTTGTGATGAAGGCGGGATCAAAAGCAGGGCCTCCCCGAACGATCTTAAAGTCCTAGATGGTTCATAAGGGGAGATGCATTCAGACAGGTAAATTGGGCCAGAACCATTTAGGGCTATAAAAAAAAGCCAGTACTTTGAATTGTGCCCGGTAGCAGACTGGCAGCCAGTGGAGCTGGCGCAGCAGAGGAGTTGTATCCTCCCTGAGCGCCGCTCCTGTTTATTTGTTCAGTTGCTTCCAGCTCTTGGACCAGCGCATGCCAGAGCTCTCTATCAGCCGTCACTGCCCCGAGTTCCTTCAAGGTCAAGCCATTCACTTCAAGGATAACATTCATCCATCTTGCCCTTGTTCGGCCCCTCTTCCTTTTTCTTTCTGCCAACCTAGCAGTTCGAAAACATGCAAATGTGAGTAGATCAATAGGTACTGCTTCTGCCAGAAGGTAATGCCACTCCATGCAGGCATACTGGTCACATGATCTTGGAGGTGTCTACAGACAACGCCGGCTCTATGGCTTAGTAATGGAGATGAGCACCACCTCCCAGAGTTGGACACAACTAGACTTAATGTTGGGAAAACCTTTACCTTTACTACCCTGTCAGCATTGTTGAATCAATTAAAAAGTGTCTTCTGTATCACCTGGAATCCATTTTTCCTCTTTTGATTCAAGCATGATGGTTTTGTTTTATGAAAATATGTTGACAAGACAGAACCCCACCAAGTGTGGAAGCACTGGACAGTTTTTCTTATCTGTAACCATGGTATTTCATGTGCTATTGTTATTTTGTTTCCATTCAATGCATAGATGAAGGTGCTTCCCTCCACCCCTGTGATGACACATACTGCGGCCCTTTCCCTGAATCTGAGCCAGAAGTGAAGGCAGTGGCCCACTTCCTACGCAAGCACCGGAAACAGATAAAAGCCTACCTGTCCTTTCATGCATATGCCCAGATGTTGTTGTATCCATACTCCTATAAGTATGCAACCATTCCAAATTTCAGCTGTGTGGTAAGTACAAAGTTGGAAAAATTTTGAATCTTTGCATGTTACTTGGGCTCTTTTAGAAAAATGAGGGAGTAGCCTCTTTTGTGGTCACTGGTAGCTAATTGACCAGGATTGTTGACACTGAATCTTAAGTACAGTTTCAAATGTACTTAATGCTAGGAAACAAGAGCCCCAAATAGTGTGGCAAGAAAGCAACCAAGGACAAAAACAAACAAAGGAAAGAAGAATGTACTCTACCTGTCTCCCACATACCCACCTTTGTCTACTTAACCTGCATCAAGCCTCCTTTACTGACTCCAAAAGCTTCACTTACTGCTGCTTCTGCCATTCATATAGCTATACTAAGATCTGTTCTGTGGGAGGAGAATATATTATTGGAATTGCTAGGCAACAGTTATGTGCTCTCACTATTACTTCTAGTTCAGAAGTGAACTTCACGACTAACACAAGTGATTCCTCAGGCTGCCGCTATTTTGAGGGAATGAGCCAAGGGGTGCACCCTTGATCTGTTGTAACTTCATAAAGGAGTTTGGAGCACTGCTCTTGTTCATTATTCCATACACAGAGGTGTTTCTCAACATCCTTTGTGATAATGGAAAGGATCTAAATTTTGGGCCATTTACTGTCATCTCTTCATACAACAAAATATTTTTTCTAATTTGACAGATGTTACGAAGGCATATCATAGAGAGTGCTAGTTACCCCAGTGAAACGGATTGTAGACCTTTTGAGATTGTTCTGTATCCATGTAGAAGAGGAAACAGAACTGCCCATCATGCCATACACTACATTCCCCTTTCCAAGATGTCTCTATATTCAGTGTGACTTCTGAATACAGAGAAGTGGATTGTGGATTGTGTGGTTTTAATAATGGATGTAATGTTTTAACTGTTTTAATGTGTATTAATTTTAATCTTAATTTAAATGTTTGTTTTAATTGCATGTTGTTTTTAAGGCATTGAATAGTTGCCTATGTGTAAAGCTGTCTTGGGTTCCCTTCGGGGTTGAGAAGGGTGGGGTATAAATATGGTAAATAAATTAATAAAAGAGAAACCTAGAGCTTATTTTTTATCGTGTCAGAAGTGACCTGAAAAACTGCAAGTTGCTTCTGGTGTAAGAGAATTGGCATTCTGAAGAGATGTTGCCCAGGGGACGCCTGGATGTGTAACCATCCTGTGCGAGGCTTCTCTCATGTCTCCCATGGGAAGCTGGAGCTGACAGACAGGAGCTCACCCCATCTCGCAGATTCAAACTGCCAACCTTCAGGTCTGCAGTTCAGTTGGCACAAGGGCATGCACCACCACAGCTCCTAGAGCCGTACACTCCTAACATATTGCCAAATGATCAAGAACCCAATTTCATAGATGTCCTTATTGATCAATGAGCTTAACATCAGGGATGTGAATTGTGCGGTCCTTCAAGAGATTGTTAAAACCTCAAGCAGTCCTATCCAGCTGAGCTGTAGTCCAGTAATGTCGGTGGACTGTTTAATTCCAAGGCATGGTGTGCATGCATATGGTAACCTTTCTGTTCAGTATGTAGCAGGCTGGGGTAGACACCATTCTGAATTCCTTTCACATTTGTAGCCTAGGCATGGAAGGTTACCTGTAACAAAAGACTTATGTTTATGATACCATGTAATCCATGTTTTTAACAAAATCTACTACAATATTTTGTTTTTAGCAAACTTTGGAATAGTTCATTTTTGTGTCACACTCCCGAATTCTCCCAACCAGCAGTGCAAGTGGGTGCAAAGTTTAGTCAAGAATAGGAACAGATTTGCAAGATATATAGTTGGCTAATATCCAGCTTGATCCTAAATAGACTTGGGTGTGGTTAAGTCTTTATAGGATCAGGCTGTAAGTAAAATATACACATTAATATAATGTATCATTTTAATTTAGCAAATTAAATTAAGTGAAGAGGTTATCTCACATCCTAAGAACCATGACACGAATAGAATTAGGCCCTTGCACTTAATGCAAATATATACAGAGTTTGTACCATCTGGAATGGGTCATAAATTTTGATTGGTCTGAATAGCCTGACTTTCTCCTCAATGGGGAAAAGCTTTAATTGTGTCAGTATGTAAATAGTCACAAAGATGCTCTCAGAGGTTGTGTCAATTTAGAAACAATCAAAAAGTAGTGACATAGTCTTTCTCAAGATTTTAAAGATCTTAGTTTAGGAAACTACCTTATTGGACAGCAGTTTCCAGAATCTTTCAGTCACTACATTGGCTGAAGAGAATCTGGGCATTATAGTTCAGAAGAGTTACTTTTTCCCAACCTCTGGTCTTGGAAAACATCAGCAAAATGTCTTTCCTTCTGAGCCTAGAGTAGGGTGGGATCCTCCTGATTTTGGAAAAGATCAAAAAGGAAAGAGACAGCCTTTGCTGTTTTCCAGTGTCTGCACAAGGTCTAGGAGATCTCCTTCTCTTCTCCAGCCTCTGAAGAAAAATAAAAGCTCCACATGAATTCTGTGTGTATTACTGCTTCTCTGGTAGCCAGATGTAGCGTATCACCAAGAAAATAACAAGCTGAAATAAGAGAACAACACTTTGACATGAAGAAACACATCACAAGGTCTTTTCATCTGTTTGCACATTTCTGGCAAAGAGAGAACAATGATGAAAGGTAACAAGTCATCAAGTGTAAAAAAAAGAACACTTAAGCAAATAATAAATACCCAGCCTGGTTTCTAAATGCTTACACAGCTGCAGAGAAAAAGGGAGAAGAACACATTCACCCTTAACCTCTGTAACCATGTAAAGTGTGTTTTCAGCTTGTTGTGCATATGCAAAATACAAACTGTGTTGCATAGCAGAACCAGAAAATAATTTTCTTTCTCATTTCCCTCTCTTGGGACTGACTTCACAAGTCCCTCAGATTTATTTTACATGTTGAGACTGGCCAGCAGATGAAAGCTTTTCTGTGGTCATCAGCATTCAGAAATGAGGGGGCTCTTTAATAATTGCTGAGTAGAAGCTAAACAGGCTACTGTCCAGCTTACTGCACAAAACAGTGCTGCCTGTCACTCTTTGAATTAATGTGTTCAATTATTTAGGCCTTTGAAACCGAAGAAAGGGACATACAACTTCCCACATTTCAGCCTTACCATGGCTGTGTTTTCCAGTGTTTGTTTGGGTTATGTCATATATCAGGAAAAGTTATTTGTATTTGTTCAGAGGCTTTTCTCGAATATAGTGTCTACAGTGTTGTTTATGGCAATATTTTTAAAGGGTGAATGTTGGATCTTCTAACTGTACTTTATCCTAGCTGCAGATTGTATGTGTAGGAACAGACCAAAACACATGTGCAATAAAAAGCCATTTCCATGTATTTTCAAAAGTAATACTTCTGGCTTTCATCTGGAAAATATTAATTTTCATTTCTACATCCTATTATGAAACTGTGAACAATTTCCCCTCCAGCATTGATTTGATCCTGGACCAACAATTCAGCAAGGTTACTGGGTCATGTTCTTGGATATCTTTGTCCTCCTCCCTCAGGCACTCGAGAACCACATGCATCCCTGTTGAGAGAATGCAGCCTAGCAAGAAAGATGTTGCTATTTTAGGTCAGCAATATTGAAAATAATTTGGAAACAGCACGTTTTAAACTATAATTCCCAGATAAGTGCAAATGACATGGACTTATCTATCCAAAATTGTAAGTTTTCCAGCTCTGATACAAAAACATATGACCACTAATCCTATAACCAAGTTAAGAGATTGGCAACTGCAAACAAGGGCCTTTATATACATGCATTAACACCCAAGGGGAAGCTGGTTAAAAGGATGGTTGGCTAAACATTTAGATACAGGAGGAATCAGGAGGAATCGAGTTAAGGGCTGGAAAACACATGTTTAAAAGGTGCCCTTTAAACCCAATTCTTCTTGAAAAATACATTTTTCCATGCCTGTGTATCCCAGCAGTCATGGAAAACATGTGCTTTCCTTCCCTCCCCCCAGTGTGGACTCCTCCAGGGCACATGCATTTCCGAAAAGCCCAAAACAGCTGATCAAACACAGACACAGATGGCTCAAGGAAACACAAGTGGAAAGCAAATACAACTCTCTCAAATTCCATCTTTTATACTTGTAATGTTAAACAGAGCTTAAATTAACAATTGGGGAAGTGGTACACTCTCTGTGTAGATATCTTTACTAAAATCCTATCAAGAGAACTCCCCTTCCTTTGCCTGAAACAAAAAGAAAAAAAACCTTCTCACATACTGAAAATACTATTATTTAAATAAATTGCATTCTGCAACACTCTAAGCCTTATCCCTTTGGAATGGCATTCAACTGTATGTGGGAATGTGAAGATATTGTCAATACATTTTTAAAGTACCCTCTTTGTAGATTATTGTAGCAGTTAGTAATGACAATGTCTGGAGGGCTGTTTAATGGCTGGGACATGAAAATGGAAAAAATCCTTTGTAAATCTTAACTCCCACAGGTGTCATTTTTTATATAAAAGGAGGCAATATATTGATGTTAAGATCTGTCAGTACTTATTTTCCATAACATACTTTACTTAACAACATAATGCAATAAGACTTGTTATAAATTGCTATTTTTATTGATTTGATTGATATCATTTTTTCTTTCTCAAAAAACTCACAAGATTGAAAAACTGTGCAAAAATGGAGAGCTAAATTATAACATGAAAACACAGCTGAGTTGAAAGCAATTTTGAAAACACACAAATAAAAGCATCTGGGCAGGATTCCTGTTAGAGACTTGTCTCTTTGTAAGTGGGTTTACATCTGCGCGAATTAGAATTGTGCAGTTGTGTAACATTCACATCTAGTAGAAGTCTGCTGTTGCATTGCTATGTACCAGAGCCAGGAAACTACCCTATGTACATTGGCACTCAAGGCACAACAGAATAGATCTGCATCATTCCTGATGCACATCACATCTGTGCACATCTGACACTCTTGCTGGTATCCTGTTATGCAGTTCAGTGAAGAGGTTACTCAGTGCCTCTGCTCCATAGCTAGATATATAAAAAATTATAGAGCTTTCCAGATCATATAGGATTCCTTGATAGTGTGATAACTCTTAGAAGACTACAGGAGCTTGTCAAATGCCAGGAGCTTGACAAATGCCAGAATTTGGCTGAATAAAAAGTTGTTTCACTGTCAAACAAGAGGGAGGAACCAAGCTGGCCTCCTCATGAAGGAAATTCTGCAACCTAGGAACAATAATCAAAAAGTCTGATAACTATGAATCCTTGTACTTAGGACATATCACATAAGTCACACCTACAGCGCAAAGTTTGATTTTAGAAATAATACTTTGTCTTTAGAACAGTTAGATTTATCCATTGAGAATGTTTACACATCATAATCTGTTTTCTATAAGAAGCAGAAACTGGAGTTCAAAAATACATTCTCTCATCAAGTGTGAAGAGTGCCCATGAGTGTGATTTTCAGTATGACCCCTAAACATCCTCAGATATACCATCAAGCATTGAGGGTTTTCTTCTGAGCATTTTGAATTACCATACATACATGTACCAGAAAATAAGTAAGTTTTGAAAGGGGAAAGGGGTTAAAGAATAGGAAGTTGAGATACATTATTTCATGTTATCTGAAATTTCAAATGTAATACAATAACTAATGTGTTTTTTTTCTTTCTGGACAAAATTGTTTGCTTCCCATCTAGGAATCTGCAGCATTCAATGCTGTAAATGCCTTGCAGTCTGTTTATGGAATAAGATACCGATATGGCCCTGCCTCCAGCACTTTATGTAAGTTGCAATAAGACAGCTTTCTTTTTCTCTGTATCACATCAAATCAAATCAAAACTTTATTTGTATCCCGCCCCTCTTCCCGTAGGGACTCAGGGCGGCTAACAACACGAAATAATAAACAAAGCAAATGGCAACATAAACAATCATAAAATAAATTATCATAAAATCAACAAAGCACAATTACACAAATCAAATTGAAACAAGGTTAAAGGCCATGCCCAAAGTTAAAAATCAATATCCCATGTTTGCATTGGCTCTGCCATTACAGGAGGGGAAATTGGGTTATTAGTGGAGGATAGGCATTCCCCATAATGTCTTCTTTCATCCTAAGATCCCAGCTAGAAACACATCACACACAAGTAGAGCCCACTTCTATCCTTACACAATACATGTAGAAAAGTGTCCCTTTTGGCATACCTTTGCTCTCCCTGACCGTGGGTACACTTTTCAGCAGGAATGCCATGGCTACTTTGAATAGGAACAGCTTAAAGACCACTTTTTTTTTTTGCTACTTACTTGTGTAGTAAATTAACTTTAAGTTTGGCTAAATAATACTGTTGAGTACAAAATGTAAGAAGATGTAAACAAAGAGAGAACAGCATAAGAGAATCTTTAAAACATGCTGAGGTGTGATTCTAAAATCAACCCTTGAGTATCACCAAAAACTATCCAAATGGAGGTTTTGAACATGCCCAAGTCATGTGTTATAGGTGACAGTTTGAACACTGAAGAGCACATTAAATCTGTTCCCTCATATACATAAGTTTCAGTTTACAACTATTTTTTTTCAGAATAAAGAAAACATAATAATAGAAGAGTGCTAATATAAAGGGAGCGATTTTATTATATATATTACTACAACTATGCAGCTAACTAGCTACTACAATCTACTATAGAACTAAAACAAGCACACTGACAACATGTTTACTAATATTAACATTGATACTTACACTATATTAACTAACAAACACACAAGTTCAAATTCTGCGAACCTCACACTCACTGACTTGATTTATCTGGTTTAGATAATAATACTGTATAACACCCCTTTTGCTTTTGGTAACACCCATCTAATTCATAAATTCTATAATTAACATCTTTCCATTTCAGTGGTGCCTGAATGACTATCATATTGGGTGTTTGCACTCAATAGTAAGCCAGAAATCCCTGTCTAATTTGGCATTACCATAAACAGACAATGTGATTAGCCAGTTTACTCTTGTTCTTCTCCTCCTGCCCATTTGAGTAACAATCAGGAAGCTGAATCTGGAAACCTGCTTTATTTTTGACATGGTTAATTGTTGACTCCTGTTCAGTGAGGCTTTGGGCAACACTGGAATTTGCAATGGCTCCTAATTATTGTCTAAGGCAGTGTTTCTCAACCTTCCTAATGCTGCGACCCCTTAATACAGTTCCTCATGTTGTGGTGACCCCGAACCATAACATTATTTTCATTGCTACTTCATAATTGTCATTTTGCTACTGTTATGAATCATCATGTAAATATCTGATATGCAGGATGTATTTTCATTCACTGGACTCAATTTGGCACAAATACCCGATTCGCCCAAAATTGAATACTGGTGTAGGCCTGGGCGGTTTCGTTCGTTAATTTTGTAATTCGTTAAATATTCGTTATTTTTAGCAATTACAAAACGATTACAAAACTTATTTTCAAACCCGGAAGTGTTTTTAAATATCGAAACGGCATCCTCCATCTTTTTTACGAGCTTCCGCCCGTTTCGGAAATGACGTTTTAGGGATGGAGGATGCTGGGTGCGCTGGGAGCCAATCCTGCGCTCCCAAGCACCGTGGCTGATTGTGATTGGGCGGGCTGCCCTTTAAAAGCGGCTCCGCGTGGCCGCATTGCTCATTGCTGGGGAAGGCGAGGAGACGGGAGGTTCGGGAGGGAGGCTTGGCTTGCATTCATTCATTGCTTGCATTCATTCATTCCCTGGGCTGGGAGCAGCGGGGAGGCTTTGCCGTTCGCTCCACAACAGGGCAAGCATTTTTAAATATTTCTGAAAAATATCTTTCTTTTATTCTTAAAAAAATTCAAAAAATATTCTAAAAAAAGAAAAGACCCTTGTGTGCCTGTGTGTGTGAGTTTGTCCCTGTCCTGTGGCTGTGTTTGCTCCACAACAGGGCAAGCATTGTTAATTTTCCATTTTTAAATATTTCTGATAAATATTTCTTTTTTAACGAATCGATTCATTGCCACCTTAACGAATCGACCCCCGTCTTCATAACGAAGTTTCAGAGGTGATTTGCGCATGCGCGGGGGGTCCGCCATCTTAACGAATCAATTCGTTAATATTAACGAAATTTCGTAAATACTGAACTTTTTTAAAGGAAAGTTTTGTAATTATTTTAAATATCGAAACGCAACCCCCCCCCAAATACAAATCGATTTTAGAAACAAATTTTTGCGTTGTTACCCAGGCCTATACTGGTGGGGTTGGGGGGATTGATTTTGTCATTAGGGTGTTGTAGTTGCTGGGGTTTATAGTTCACCTATAATCAAACAGCATTCTGAGCCCCACCAATGATAGAATTGGGACAAACTTCCCACACAGAACCCTCACGCCTTGAAGGGACCCCCTGTCGCGAGTCTCCCTCCAGCCTCGCACACTCTCCCTCGCCCATTATGCGCACCATGCTGCCATGCGCCAAGCACACCTGCTCTCCCCTCCCCACTTGGAGTCTCAGAAACAGCTCTCCCCTTGGCTGAGAGGCTGGCCAATCACAGCGGAGGAGGGCTTTTGGTGGGAGGATGCATTGTCTGTTTCCAAAAAGGAAGAGAAAAACAGGCGGAGAGATCTTCAACCTTCTATGCCAAAGGAGTTCATTAGACCACCAGAAATATATGTTTTCCTATAGTCTTTGGTGACCCCTATGAAACCCCCTCGTGACCCCCCCCCCAGGGGTCCCAACCCCCAGGTTGAGAAACATTGGTCTAAGGAAAGGCTCTGGAATTCAGCTCCAAAGACACAGAATTCTTCCTTGTTATCTTGCTCTTCTATTCTGTATTTCTTTCATCTTCCTTCCTTAGTTCTTCTGTCTATTCAGAAGCACCGACATAGTTAGGCACAAGAGGGAGGAACCAAACAAAAGCAAATTGACTTTACACCTCATCATGTCACTCATGCATTAGATGTTATATCAGGATTAACCATTCTGTTAAATATGAAGAAAGTCAATATAGAATGCCAGCCAGAAGCATATCTTAATCTAGTTAAATGTGTGAAATGGTGGTTCAGTGCTTAGATATCCTTTGTTATATGCAAGGATGTCTAGGTTTTTTCTCACCATGTATTTGTAAATAATGTAGATGAAGTATTCAGACTCACAGCTATGTTATTTTTGAATTCTGGGTTTAGAACACGATCAGTTTGAAGATGATAAAAAAAATCCCAAAATAAAATGTCTTCAAAGTGGAATTATTTTATAGAGTAATAAAATGCATATTCCTCCCAGTGGGCTGCTGAATTTTTAAAGTCCGGGTTTTCAATAACGATTACAGCTTCAGTGGAGCTCTCCACACAAGCCTGAAAAATAAAAGAATTTCAGCTTCTTTATGTAGCTAAGGGATATATGGTTGCCTAGTTTAGTTTGATCTGCTGAAAAGATGAAAAGACTGAATGTTAGATGGGTTTAAAATGGAGGTGGAAAAGCCATGCAGGTAATGCTTTTTGTCAATCTAATGATATTGTATTGGCGTGATATTTTTTGTGTGTGTTGCCCAGTCTCTTTCCTAAGAAAATTGGTAGAAAAAGAGAATGGGTAGTAAAATGTATTATCACTTATTTTTACTGATTTGTTTTTGTACATTAGGCTAAGGTTCTTTTAAGCTGATTAAAAGATACTTTTTCCTGCCTTTCTCACCTACACATTGTGTGATTGCCTACATGGGTTTTTTTTAAATATTCAAATGATAGCACTGTAATATATTTAATAAAATGTTGAATAAAGTAGTAAAAGTATCTATTCTGCAACATAATAATGAGTAGTAGTTCTTCATTCAGCCCTTCCTTTCACATTCGTTTGCAGCCTGGAATCCAGTCTGTTGATGGAAAGTGTAACTTTTTTTAACATGTTAGAAGCAACTTGAGAAACTGCATGTCACTTCTGGTGTGAGAGAATTGGCCATCTGCAGAGATGTCACCCAGGGGATGCCTGATGTGTTACCATCCTGTGGGAGGCTTCTCTCATGTCCCCTCATGGGAGCCGGGGCTGACAGACAGGAGCTCATCCCATCTTGAGGATTCAAACTCAGTTCAACCAGCACAAGGGGTTCTCAATCTTTGGTCTTCCAGGTATTTTGGACTTCAGCTCCCACAATTCCTAACACCTGTAATATGGCTAGGATTTCTGGGAGTTGAAGTCCAAAACCCCTGGAGGATCCAAGGTTGGGAACCACTGGTTTAACCCACTGTGTCACTGCGGCTCCTGGAAAATGTTCTGAGCAGCAAATATAAATTGCAACATCTCCCACATTTAGTAGCAACCGAGGTATAAGAGACAGTTGGATTTTATTTTAGCCCTTTACTAATTCTGCACAGCTCCTTAGTACAGATAATCTAGGTAGATTTAAAAGTTGTGATTAAAGCTAAGGTTTTACACATGACATTAACCAGGAGCAAGATCCAATGAACTTTGTAAGATTTACTTATAAGTAGAAATGCGTAGGCTTACACTATTAACTCAAAGGTGGTTTTCCTTTAAAATTAGTCACTGTTTCAATTCATTGGGCTTGGTCTTACAAAGTTGGCTTCCATGTATAGTCTTACACACAAGGCAAACCGAAACCATTGTGAAAGTAGAAAGCAGAGAATGGTAACAGCACTTTTTCCATTATGTAATACTTGGATCTTCCTTGGAATTAAAATTAATTACTTGGAGCTTGAGTTACTGCACCACCAGGAGTGAAGCATCCAAGTTGAGACTGCTAAATAAGGAAGTGCCAATACTATTCAACATGCTTTTACAGACATCAAATGCCATAGAAGTTGATAGAGAAGAATACAAATTTGAGGACATTTGAATTAGGTAGAAAACATCTCTGCCTCGAGTCCCCTATGGGATGGAGAAAGGTGGGGTATAATTAGGGTAAATAAATAAATCTTTTAGGAAAAAACTCAAATCGTGGTTCTGGAGCCAGGCTTTTGGCTAGGTGGTATAGCAGCACCTTAAACACTGAACCTAGACCATAGGACTGTTACGACAATTGGAAACGGCTTTGTGATTTTGCTACTGTGTGATTATGTGATTTTAAGTAATATTACTGTTTTTATTTGTTATGTATTTGATTTCATATTGTTGTTATTGATATTGTGGCATTGAATTATTGCCTGTGTTAGCCGCCCTGAGTCCCCCCTCGGGGGTGAGAAGGGTGGAGTACAAATGGTGTAAATAAATAAATAAAAATAAATAAATACATAGTTAGTAGTTAGGCTACAGTTCTAAAATTGAAACCCATCTATAGCATACTAAGGTGTATCTGTGTTTCCCATCCTGGTATCTGTATAGAACTGGAGGTTTCTCCTTATTGAACCAATTTCATTCAAGTTAGATTGTAGCCTTGCAAATCTTGTTTCTCTCTGGCATCTCTGTAGAGCTCAGGATGTTTAGCTTCTTATGATATTTCCGCATACTTCACTCACATTTTATTTTTCCCCTCTTCCAGATGTGAGTTCTGGCAGTTCTATGGACTGGGCTTACAAAAATGGTATTCCATATGCCTTTGCGTTTGAGCTGCGTGACACGGGCCATTTTGGTTTTCTTCTGCCTGAGGCCCTAATCAAACCAACTTGTACAGAGACCATGCTGGCTGTCAAAAATATAACGCTGAACCTGCTAAAGAAGTGCCATTAGGCATGTTACAGCAAAAGGCCAAAACAATTATTTTTTCATTTTTCTTATTGTTGCAAAAGTTTATTCCATAGACATTTTCATATTCATTAAATATAGAATGGGGTATCTTCTGCTAAATGTGATATTCACTCAACATGTTGAATTGTTGAAGTATGTGATGTCTATGCTGGGCTGTGTGTATTCTGGTATTACATAAACCATTGGGATTTGTTAGTATGTTAGCTGGTGGTACTGGTGAAATTGCAGGAGTTGTGGGATGAGAGCGAGAGGAGAGGGACAAAGCAGGATTTCCAGTGTTAAAAGAAGGCAAGACTTTACTGTCCAAAGTAGGGTTTTGCTTCAGATCTTGACAGGCAGAAACAGAATAAATTATGCAAAATAAACATGCAAATTCCAGTTTGCATAATTTATACAGGCCATGGGCATCAACTTATCTTAAAGAAGAAAGAATCTGGGTTTCCTTAGAACAGAATATAGATTTTTAAAATACAGAATATGCATAGCCCTGAATATATCGCTAATATGTACAAAGTAAATGAAATAATCTCTCTTTGGGATAATAAAACTCCTCTGTTTTTTCACCTCTGGAGTCAGTATCATTAGCTTTATTGATAGTAGAAAAAATATTAGTTCTGCAGAAAAAATGCTGGTAAAATCCATAGATAAAACTCATAGGAAGAAAGCACACTGGGAACTGAGAGGGAAAATGTGTGTGTCCCTGCTCTTCTGCATCAAAATGTAATAGCACTTAGGAGGAAGGTTCCAAAGCAATTATGTTAATAAACTTCACAAAACCTGACCCAATCATTCTTTATTTGCAATAGTAAAAGAAAATGTTTGTTCTCACATGGATGTATGTTCAGCATAGCTCAAAGACCATAACATCTAGACACCTGAAACTTCACATAGATAAGTGTATGAATTATGCTTAAATACCCTGAAATCACTAGAGCCTACCTGACCCGGAAATCTAATTAGGGTTATGCTATAGTCTGCATTTCAGAGGAAGGAAATGGCAAATGATCCCTGTAAGACAATGTTATGAAATGCATGGAGTGGCCATGGGAGGACAGGCGACTGAAGGCATGCATAGAAGCGTGTCTTATTTTTAGGGGATTGTTCAATGTAGTTAATTAAAAGATTTATTTTTTTCAAGGAAATCTTAAGCAACCCATGTGTTCAAGTTCAAATTCACTTTATTACGATCAGTGTGACCAGTTCAAGAGAAAAGGAGCGTAGTCCCGTACAAGCATGTCAGAGTTAAGGGTTGTTTGTTGTTGCTGTTCATTCGTTCAGTCGTCTCCGACTCTTTGTGACTTCATGGACCAGTCCATGCCAGAGCTCCCTGTCGGCCGTCACCACCCCCAGCTCCTTCAAGGTCAATCCAGTCACTTCAAGGATACCATCCATTAGTCTTGCCCTTGGTCGGCCCCTCTTCCTTTCTTCTTCCATTTTCCCCAGCATCATTGTTTTCTCCAAGCTTTCCTGTCTTTTCATTATGTGGCCAAAGTACTTCATCTTGGCCTCTACTATTCTTCCCTCCAAAGAGCAGTCGGGCTTTATTTCTTGAAGTATGGACTGGTTGGATCTTCTCGCTGTCCAAGGCACTCTCAGAACTTTCCTCCAGCACCACAGTTCAAAAGCATCTGTCTTCCTTCGCTCAGCCTTCCCTATGGTCCAGCTCTCACATCCGTAGGTTACTACGGGGAATTCCATTGCTTTAACTATGCGGATCTTTGTTGCCAGTGTGATGTCTCTACTCTTCACTATTTTATCAAGATCGGTCATTGCTCTCCTCCCAAGAAGCATCTCCTGATTTCCTGTCTGCAGTCTGCGTCTGCAGTAATCTTTGCTCCTAGAAATACAAAGTCTGTCACTGCCTCCACGTTTTCTCCCTCTATTTCCCAGTTGTCAATCATTCTTGTTGCCATAATCTTGGGGTTTTTTTATGTTTAACTGCAACCCAGCTTTTGCTCTTTCTTCTTTCACCTTGATTAGAAGGCTCATTGGCTCCTCCTTGCTTTCAGCCACGAAAGTGGTGTCAACTGCATATCTAAGGATTAAGGGTTAAGAGATTTAAAACTTTAAAATATGTGTATCATTCAGAGAATTAACTTAAGAATCTAAGCTAAAAGCCATATACATAATTATATTAAAACACAACAAAATTCGTGGAATTAAAGTGAAGGGAATCTAAAGGGACGGAATAGGGGTGCTCATGTGGCACAGGGAGGGGAAGTCCAGTCAAACAGAGGAGGGAGCAACATCCATACTATAATTAAAAGTCCAATTTTCTGCTAGTACTGGCTTGTACTAGCTTGTCCTATCAGTCATCGACCTCCAGATTTTAATGGGTTCTGTGCAGATCTTGGTGACATTACAAGTTATAGCCAAGTTAGTGTCTAAAAACAGCAGGGAGATGTGAAATTGTCCAGAGGATCCTGGATGTCCATGTGGTATTTCTCTCTTCAGTGCCCCAAACACTAAGAGCAAAAGAGAGATGGTCCTGGTGTCTGATATATCTGGGGAATCAAGGAAGCAATGATAGCCTTTTTAGCTAGGGTTTTGGATTATTTTTGTTTTGAGATTTTGGGTGGGGAAGGCCTGAGGAAAAAAATCAGAAAAATTGCGGTGGGGGGGGGATGTTTTCCAGGTTTTTTTCCCAAGCCATTTTTCCATTAAAATTGTGGGGAAAGTGTGTAGAAACAAAAAGTCTCAGAAATCTTTCATTACGATATTCGTGTTATATAGTTTGAATATTATGCCATAGGTATATGCAATAATATTCCCCAGAATTTCCCCAGAATTGGAAAAGAATTATTCTACACACTTTTCAATTTTTCTAGAAAAATTGGCTTTGGAAAAAAATGGGGGAGGACCGTTTTCCCCCTATTTTTTCCATTTTTTCCAGGCTTTCCCATCTTTATTGGGGTTTCAGGCCCCAAGAGTTGCATGAGCTTGTAGAATGCACTTTGCCCACCACTTCATTAGGATGCAGAAAGAAACATTCAAAACGTGAAAGAGGTATCTTTAGCCTTTACTAGCATTAATTTCATGTTGGTATTAAATTTTCTGGTTCTTGTTCCTGTGCGACAAATATTGTTATCTATGCAGATTAGTTTGTGCTCTTGTGCATTGTCCATATTTTTGAAAAAAGAAAATACTGTATATCTCATACCTCTGGGAATATCAACTGGCAGAAACACCCAGAGACTTCTAATTCACCCCAACTCAATAAACACAAGCCTCCTTGAATCTCTCATTTCACAAATAACGTTATCTAGTCATGGATAATGAAGAAGAAAAGCTCTGCCTGTAAATAGTTTCATTCTTTCCCTTAATCTTCTTGCTTCCTAAAGCTATAATTATAAGGCAAGATGAATGACTGACATCGGGTTCACCAAGCAATGCAATCAATGATCATTTAGCTGTGACATGGAAATTTCAGGGATTTCATGGTATGCTATAAACAGCAGATAGAACTTGGGTTCAAAGTCCTACATAAGGTGAACACCCCAGAACATTTGCACTGCCTTCTCCAGGACAGTGTGTGATGCAGCACATATCATATCAAATTAAACGTTTTAAAGCATGCAGCCCCCTTTCAATTATGTGGCTACCTCCTGCAGAATTCTGGGGCTTGTAGTTTAGGGTGGCCTTTGGAATTCTCAGCCAGAAAGATCCTGGCTTCTCCAAACTACAAGCCCCAGAATTCTGCAGGAGGAAACCACACAATTGAAAGCAGGAGCCAGCACTTTAAAACACTAATGTGATAAGGTGCATTGATGGTACAATTCCACACATGCATGACTAAATTATCTCTTTTTTCATTGCATTTGAGATCTAACCTACAATTCCACTAAAATCACTTATTTCAAGTGATCCTCATTTCAAGGATCTTGTATCTTATTGTGAAAACTTTTCCACTTTTCTTCTGCACTGGCTTTGCAAAGTTCCACCTGCTCACAACCTTGTCTTTCATCTGCCTCTCAGCCTTGGGAAAGCTGGGGGAAATACTCTCATTTAAGTTTGAATCAAATGAATATTATTATCTATTATCCTGAGATCCTTGGATATATTTTTGAAATTTGTTTCCAATCATGGCCAGTTGGAAACATTGGAATACATTGGCTAATATCCAGATATTGGCTAATATCCAGAACTCTACACATGGGGCTCAATCAAACAGAAAACAGATCCTTTTATGTCACTTAGTAGGGAATTACTCTTTTGTCCATACCAAGAGAGGAAAGCAAAGTATTTTTTTTCAACTGGTTTTGTTCTACAAGACCAGTCCAACGCTACCTAATTTTTTTTCCATGCAGAATTTAAAGTTTGAATTAAGCTTCTAGAGAGAAAGTTTAAGATGGTTTAAGATGTTGTGGAAGCTTGATCTGTTGGCAAAAGTAATTTATAACTTTTAGTATTGATCAGTAAGTGAACAGTAGCATTCTTCAAGAAATGCTCCAACTAGAAAGTTAGGAGTCCTTTCACAAATGCACTCAACCAGCAGCAGTTCCCTGGTAAAGATTACTCAATCAGTAACAATAAGTCGCCTTCCAGATGTTGTTGAACTGAAGTTCCTATTTATTTATTTTTTTGCCATAGACTGTTCTGGGTAGGGTGATGGGAGTAGCAATACAACAACTATATCTTAAAATCAAAGACCCTACCCAGAACAGAGGAGGCAGAATATGATAGATCTAGTTAACCAGCAGTCTTTCTCTCTACGTTGTCAACACCCATATACAATAATGCACATTAAGATTATAAGAGCATAGATATGCACAGTAGGCTGTTTATGTCTAACTAGCTAGTGGTACATTATAGATGAAGCTATTCTATTGTGACTCACAGCTTCTGTTCTACATGTAAGCCGCCCCGAGTCCCTGTGGTAGGCTGATATGTAGATTTGGACTTATCTCCATGCTTTTGTGAAATGAAAAGTTCAAGTCAAGCTGCTATTACTGAATTTTATGTAAGAATGCTCTATTCAAATCAAATTCAGACTCAAGAGCTCCATGATAGAACCAAAGTTTGCAACCAATGACCATGAACAGCAGCTGTTTCCATGGAAGTGTTCTGATAACTTAAGCAACATAACTAAAATGGAGTAAAGAACGCTCCATATTTGTACACTTTTAATTGACAATGACATTGCCTCTTTTATAAAGTTCTTTTAAGGAAAATCAGGAGGAACTGTGTGCCTACATATGCTTTGTTTCCATCCATTCTTCTAAAACAGAGATATTCAATTCCAGTTTCTGGAAAGTATCAGCCTACTAGAAAAAACAGTAAATCTCAGTAGAGGATAACAGCATTTTTTATTCAAAGGGCTGATAAGTCTTTGGACCAGAAAGCCTCTTCCTTATTCCTCTTGACTGACAGGAATTGAGCGGCCAGGCAGAACAATCCAGCTGTCTTCACACTGCAGTCCCTTGCAAAGTATCTCCCCTGGGTGAAATATGCAAAGGCACCTATTGGAAGAGTTGTCCTTCCATTACGGCATCAGAGACTTTCCTTATGAATAATGTAGTAAATTGGTAATTGAAAGAATCACATTGAAGCATGGGGAGTGGCC